CCAGCTTCTGCAGGTCTTTTTGGTTGTTGCCGGTGTTAGCCTTCCTGGTAACTCTATTATTGAAAGCAATGTTGTCCTGTTAGGAATTTAAACAAGGGCAAAAACAATATTTTACACAATTAATTGTCCAACATATTTCATGGTATCTATTTATTTGTGTATTTCAGTTGAAAGGATTCATGTTTTGTACTTCATTTTATGATTACGTAAACTTTAAAAGGAGCAGCTGGTGGAGCAACTACAATGTCAGGCTCTCATGCTAGAGACCCGGGTTTTAACCCTGGTAAGGTGTGGAGTTTTTCTAAATTAAACCAGCACAAGTCATGCAGCCCTAAATCTTTAAGCTCCCGTCACCCCCCCCCCCCCCCCCATCCCCCCCTCTACACTGCCCTCAAAAGGAGTAAATACAGACAGTAGTAACAGGTTTTTTTTCCCCAGTGAACTCTCCAGATAGATGAGATAAAGAGAACTATTGGAACAATTCTTACAATTAAATTAAGAAACAAAGCATGAAAGGGTTCAGCCATATAGTGAGACTGAACTCAATAATGCATGTCAGCAAAAGCACACAACTTAACAACGAAAAAAACTAAAAAAACTGACAGAAATCTAGAAGAAAATTGACAGAAGGATTCACTCACAAGCTAAGACTTAACAAAAACACAGCACACCAGGTTAGTAAGTATGCCCTATCTCAGCTGCAAATCACCTGATCAAATGACAGAATCTGTAGTCTCTGGTGAACCAACTTAACCATCTCAGGTATGACAGTTAACCTAGAAGACTTATCATCAAACACAGCTGTAGCTAATATCTCTGAATTATGGCCCTTGTTGCTTGTGGCCTTTTTCTGGCCAGTATTTATTCTCAGTAGCCACAAACATATCATGCATTCTACTGGCAGCACATAAATGTAATTTCAATTGAAGACAGGTTAATTAAGTGATTTTGTATATTCTTGTTCATATTTATGGTATTGCAGATTTATGTAATGTGCTGATGAAGGCTCTATAGCTGCAACGTTCACCTGTCATTGGTGTTTGTGATATAGAAACACTGACTGGTTCTACTGTTTGTTTGGTTTGATATCTTTCCATGTTAAAATGTGACATCTAACAGAAAAGGGCAGACACTAACAAAGAAAAATGTTTTGTTCTCTTATTTAAAACTTCAGTTATGTTTTAATATCTATATCATCTCCATGTTATAGCTAACACATGAGTCACTTATAAGTGATCTCCACTGCTACCAGTCTGCACTGTTCTGCCCATAGTATGCCATGCCAGTTTGCAAGCCTGCGTTTACCTTTCTGCTGTCCTTCTCCAGCTTTCCTTAAGTTGTTCATGTCTACTTTTTTTTCATCTGCAATGCATCAGAGAGAGAGAGAGAGAGAGAGAGAGAGAGAGAGAGAGAGAGAGAGAGAGAGAGAGAGAGAGAGAAGGAGGGAGAGAGAGAGGAGGGAGAGAGAGAGAGAAGGAGGGAGGGAGAGAGAGAGAAGGAGGGAGAGAGAAGGAGAGAGAGAGAGAAGGAGAGAGGGAGAGAGAAGGAGAGAGAGAGAGAAGGAGAGGGAGAGAGAGAGAGAGAGAGAGAGAGAGAGAGAGAGAAGGAGGGAGAAAGAGAGAGAGAGAGAGAAGGAGGGAGGGAGAGAGAGAGAGAGAAGGAGGGAGGGAGGGAGAGGGAGAGAGAGAGAGAGAGAGAGAGAGAGAGAAGGAGAGAGAGAGAGAGAGAGAAGGAGGGAGAGAGAGAGAGAGAGAGAGAAGGAGAGAGAGAGAGAGAGAGAGAGAGAGAGAGAGAGAGAGAGAGAGAGAGAGAGAGAGAGAGAGAGAGAGAGAGAGAGAGAGAGAGAGAGAGCTGTCCTTGCTGATGTGTCACAACCAATTTTGGAAATATGTCCAATCCATCTTTATTTTTACTATGTTCAGCTACTTAAACAAACAGCCAGAGTGCTGTTCTTATTCTTCTTCCCCCCCTTGAAAGGTTGTTTGGCACATAATGTTCTGGCTTGCACAAGGACTACAATATCTGTGCCTTCTGATATGAGAATAGAATCATGTCCCTGATAATGAGAAAAAGTCCTTTACTTACTACTTAAAATTATGCTCTACTATTTATTTAATAGTATTTAAAGTTTTTCTCCACTTCTAAAAATTGTGCAGTATTATTTAAAGTTATTCTACATTATTTAAAGTTTTGATACATCATTTCAGAATTCAAGGAGTTAACTCTTTGAGTCCCAGGGGGTTTAGCATCAGAGGCCCAAGGGGTAGTCAAAAGAGACTAAAATCGACGCATCATGCGTTCATTGGGCTTCTAGTTAGTAACCTATGAACGTATGATACGTTCTTTGGGACTCAAAGAGTTAAGACATGCCTGCCCAGTGTGTGATGACTGGATTTTGTGGATTATAACTAGGGCTGTGCCGAATATTCGCTTCATATTCGCTTCGGGGCCGAATAGTGGACCTATTGACTATTCGGTATTCGGCCGAATAGTTACGGTCGAGCCGAATACGAATAGTAGTTACCTTACATCCGCTTCTGCATACACGGCCTTAATGCTGACAACATGGAACGACATGGTTTTGTTGAAATCTAATGCAGCTTTCCTGCATTAACTAAGCTGTCTGTGACAATTTCCAAGTTTAGTTACTTGTTTTCATACTTAGGATTCTTTTATTCCTAGTCATTAGTTACCACAGACTGACTGAAGGATGCAGAACATAAAATGTTTTTAAATGTTGACTATTCTGTACAAATACTAACTAGAATGGAAGGAATATAAACTCGGGCCACATATAAGTTGATAATATGAAAATCAAACGAATGGAAACATATAAGTACTTGGGTGCAAACTTCAACTGCTCTAACATGCTAAGAGAAGAAATACAATCTAGAATACAATCTAGAATAAAGTGTACTATGCCCTTCAACATCTACTAAAGTCAAAGTGTCTGTCTCGCAACACCAAGATCAAAATATTTAAAACGTTGAAAAGACCTGTCGTTTTATATGGCTCTGAAACTTGAAGCAGAAATAAAAGAGATGAGGCCTTATTACAGGTTTTCAAAAACAGTCTTACAACAAATCTTTGGACCCATCAAAGATGCTAACAGCGGGGAATGGAGAGTGAGAAGCAACAAAGTAACACATAATCTTTTTAAATCACCATTGATCACTGGCATCGTGAAAGCTAACAGTCTAAAATGGTTGGGGCAAATTGAAAGAATGTCAGATGACAGAGAAGTAAAAATTGTATACACCTGAGAGGAATGGGCGTAGACCACGAGGCAGACAAAAAATAAGTTTGAGAGATAATGTCCAGCCAGATCTGCAAACAACTGGTGACACAAATTGTGAAGTGAAGGCCAGCCAGAGAGATGAATGGAGACGAGTGATATCTGCAGCAGTAAAACTCAAGGGCTCAGAATGCTAAAGAAGAAGACTATTCTGTGCTACTTTATGTGAGGTAAAAGTTCAGCGTACATTTGACATTATGAATTTTTTTTTAAAGATATATTTTTTTACATTATGCACTATTCATATTCGGCCGAATAGTTGGTACCGCTATTCGTATTCGGCCTAATGGTGAAAATCCCTATTCGGTACAGCCCTAATTATACCTGGTGTCAATTGTATTCCTTGGCAATTTATGGAAAATGTTTAGTATTTAAAAAATAAAAAACATTAAATGCTTAGACAGGTTATTTTATTTTTCCTCAAATAAAAAATTATGCATTTCTTCCAAAAAATGTTTATAACTTCATTGCACTCATTTAGTAACACTTTTGATATAAAGCAACACTTCTATCATACAAAATTAAAAACTGTTATACTGTTTGTATTCTGAAACAATTTAGATACCACTGCAGCAGACGCAAAATTCTTGCTTGTCCACCAGACCATGAACATAGGCTCACAATGTATACTTTATGGCAGCAAACAGATATCCATTTTCCAGCAGTCCTGAATGTACACTCACAATTCAAAAAAAAATACTTGAACAGACATTTTTAATAAAATCTGTTATCCATGAAACTATGAATACACATGCTTCTTCTTCTTCTTCTCTCCACCAGTTTACTTAAGTGAAGTGTTGGGAGCAGATAAAAAGATAATCAATGTGCTCTTTCTAAAGCACTTACAAGTTGGTTTTAATTTCTTTGAAGTTATCCTGGATAATGCTCTTCCTTTTAAGGTAGTGTTTTCCAGCCTTTTATTGTGTTATTGTGCCACACCCCACCTAAGCCTTTCTAAAGTCCTTAGCCGACCCCCCCCCCCCCCCCCCCAACCTAGTAAATTAAACTCTGGAAAAGTCCATTTTTGAATTGCCCCTCAAAGGGCGTGGGACCCATGTAGAGAAACACTGATATAATGCATTGCTGTCTCCTTGTTCTGTGGTAATTATAAATCTTCACTGTGGTTCTCCATGGTAGCTGGTTCTAGGACATTCTAAAAAAAAAAATGGCCAGATTATCTCATCTAATGCTCTCTGTAAACTGTAGAGTAGTTTCAGTTCTAGACTTCTAATTTCTTTCTTTTCAAATGCACTTCTTCTTAATAATATACTACAACCGACAATTCTAATCCTGAATATACACTCATAAATCATACTACAGCCTCCCCCCCCCCCCCCCCCCCCCATAAGTTTCACAACAAATCCTGGTCTGGTACTCTTAAAAATTGTAATTTTTATACATGAGGGTATTTTACACTCAGAGAAATATGGTACTTCAACAGAAATTAAAATATCTCTCTTCCAGCAGTCCTGAACATTCACACTTAGACATCATAATTTACCACAAAAGACGACTATAATCTATTTTCCAGCAGTCCGTAAATATACACACATAAGTTTGTAATAATACAACACAACAGGCAAATGGCTATTTCTCTTCCAACAGACCTTAAATTTACACTATAAATTCATAACATACCACAAGAGACATTAATATATCACTCTCCTGACAGTCCATAAATATACATCACACAACTACACCACTGTTAGCACTCTGTATCCTTCAACACAGGCACACCCCCAGTTATGGGAGCAAACACAACAGTTTTGGTATCCCTTCTGGGAGGGGGGATACTCTCAGCTGAATTATTACTACTGTCGCCTCCGCTTTGTGTGGAGTAACTGTCTTCTTGTTGCTTTTTTAGTTTGGCTTTTTCCTCTGCTTTCTTCCACACAGGAGAAGATGCCCCAGCCCGTTCGGAAGAGTTAACAGAGCTAGATGAGTAATGCAGCGGGTCTGTACTTGCATACTGAAGTTTTGCACAGCCACCTTGGCTGCCAGTTTGGCTTGAGCAGCTGAGATTTGAATTCGATGAGCATGAACTAGTTTCCTTATTCTTTTCTCCTGTAGCCGGTTCTAACGTTCCTGGAACGAAACCTCCAGATTCATCCATGCTAACCTCATTGAGGTCACCGACAGTTTTACTTCTGGCCCGGACACCCGAGTCAAGATCTGTATCACTAACTTTGTTGTCTAAATCTACAGAGTACCTTTCAGCATCCAAAGATTTCATTCGGCGCTTGAACAATGCCAGCTGAGGACTGGAAAGAGGGTTGGAGTTTGAATATGATGATGTATATAAAGAAGATGTACCCACTGCACCATCAGAACTCCCTGATTCTGAGGACAAGATGGGGCTGTGAGAAGCTGGAGAGGAGGAGAATGGTCGAGTGTTTGAGGAATGCGAGTAAGAAGGAGGATGTGGGGTGGAAGGCGATGGTATAATCATTTTTCTTACACTTTCTCTGATGGTCTGCCGTATCACTTTCATAAAATCAGATTTGGCTTCACTTGTGCTGGAAAGACACAAAAGCAGTACATTGTCAAATCAGAAGATAGCCATTTCAAAAAATATTTAAATAATGCATTGATCTAAAAATGTTTTTGCTCATTCAATTCTTATTCTTTACTCATTTGTCTCCAAACACCTCTTCCTTACTGACTTTGTTTACTATTTTACATTGAAATCTCCAGTAACTACCCTTGTTCTGTATTTTTTAGTCCATACTGTGGGACGCTGATCATCACTTCACTTCACAACCTTTCTTCCTTGTGTAATAATAGTCATCTATAATACAGACATTTCTCCACGCCATGATGACAAACTATTCAAAATCCCCTGTTTCACTCTCCCACTGCATTTTTTCCCAGAAACTTTAATGTCTTGATGTACTCCCCTCCCATGATGTATCCCAAAATGTAGATATTCTTTTGCTGGACTGGCAGAATCAGTTCTTTCCATAAGATCATTTCTTTGAAATCTTCATGACATTTATATCTGTCTATGGTGTTCTCATCATTATTATTTAAAACTACATCTCTGCACCTTCTACATTTTTCTCTGACTAATTTGCTCTGTATCTCTGATTCACTTCTACACATCAGGGTTGGCCCTATATAGTATTCTTCTTCTTCTTCTTCCGTTCGCTTGAAATAAATTATCTACATCTGCAATGTTGTCTCTAGTATGAACTTCACTGTCTTTTGTAATTCACTCAGTGATTCGTAAAGTTTGACTTGCACCAATGTTTATCTTGGCCAAAAGTTTTGACTTGATGGGACAGTCTTGGAGGACATGATCTGTTGTCTCAGGTGCCAATCCACATGTGCACATGGCTGATTCACAGTAGAATAGTGACTAGACAGTCTCCTGCCAGCCTGAAGGTCTGGGATTCGAATCTGCACTGGTCGCTGGGGGGGAATTCAACTTGGCTCCCAGTTGACCCAGTTTAAAATAGTTGCCACGAATGTCCTGGGAAGTAAGGGTAGCTGGTGTGGTGGTGACCCCATCACCCAACAACTCCTGATTGGTCTATAAATAATTTGAGTTTAGCATTTACATGACAAGCCTGACGTGCCACTGGTGTTAAAAAATGGTGCTTTACTTTACCTGTTATTTTGTATTTGTAAATGTAACATTAATTACAACTAACCTGTTACAAAACTGATATACTTTCTCAGGCCTGCCTTCAACTTCTGACCTAGAGTGCACCAAATCCCACCAAAAATGCCGATCAATGTCACCGACTTTTCCGGTTCGAATCTGAACTTCCTGTGTAGGGATTAAGGTGCGATAGCGCTCTACCGTCTCAGCAACCTCAATAAGAGATGATCTGGCTGACAGAGGCTGAAATATCAAAGTAAACAAATTGAATCTCCGTTCGGGAAATAACTGAACACAGAATGCTCCCCCCCCCCCCCCCAAATAATAGACATAGACATAGTGATAAGAATTCAAAAGTGATAATGAATGGAATATATAAGGTGACCGCAGCCAATTTGATAGTAAGAAGTAGTAATCCTTTTTACCCTTAGAAGCCTAAATCTAGTCTTTTCTGTGTGCACATCCCTATCAATGCCAATATATAACCTTGTCTGCAATGACCTGTTCTGAAAAAAAAAGTGTGGTTAGATTCCATTGGTCTCTATGCACCTATGCAGACCTCTGAGGTGTTTAATAGGTGACAACATAAATATAGTAACTGAAAAAGATAGCAATGGAGTGGGGTGGGAATGTGGTCCGTATGCCCCAAATGGCTTTTTGAAAGCCAATGTGAGGTCTAATTTCCCGCTGGCCTTAGTGATAGAGGTCATGGGGTCATGGCATGAGTCACCCAATGCATACTGCTGTTCATAATCTATACATATGTGCTTAGTGATATCACATTGTCTAGTTTGAGAATGGAGGTGGAGGCAGTAAGTGCTGGCTTTCGCTAGCTTGAGAATCAGGTGTACACACATGCCATGATTGTAATTGACTTGCGGAGCATATACTGAGAAAGGTGGAGACAGGCATGCTGCATGTAGAGTGGCAAGCGTCACTTCAAAGCTCTCAGGTAGTTAGCGTCCTTTGGATTTTTCTCCAGGTCATGCTGGTATTGCCGGTCACTTGGTGGTGAATTGAACGAACAAACAAACTTTACTTTCAAAGGGTTAAGAATTGGGCACGCAGGCCCGTCTAACATTCTGCACTTTCACTCCATTCCTTGCATACAATTATTCATTTGTACATCATTTGATAGTTATTATTAATAATAATAATAATAATAATAATAAGAAGAAGAAGAAAAAAAAATGTTTACAACATCTAAGTCTTAATTACAAACGCTGAAATGTGATCTAACTATACTGATATTCATGAATGTTTTAAAAAGTATAGTAATAAGTCTAATGCAAAAATTATATAAGTCTAATAAGCTGCCTAATATAAACATCATCAACATCAATTAAATGTAAGTTACAAACCCTGGAATGCATTCGACTGGCATCTTTATTTAAAAAACAATAATAAGCGTCAGTTTAGAAAAAAAAACCATTGAAATAAGACATCCGATGGAAATACACCACAGGTTTAACATACTATAATCTTTTAAGGGGGCAGATAGTCTGTAGTGTGATCATATTCAAAGAGTTTCTGATTGTCCGTAAAGGGGTTGGTGATATTTTTTAATTCCTAGGGGAAGATGATTCCACAGCTGAGCTACAGAGTACGCTAAGCTTGTTTTGTACAGGTCTATTTAAGGTTTAGAGATATGCAATATGTTAAGGCTTTTGCTATGCCTCCCATTGTATTTAAATAATGGCCAAAAGTAACAAGTAGAATATTTTGATATGATTTTGTGAATAAGATTACTTTTATTGAATAGTAAGCGTTTCTGGAGGGGTAATATCACAAGTTCTATATATAGGTGTGACAGTCGCTTTCCTGACTATTTGCTTTTAAAGGCACAGTCCTTCTTTGGAGTGTTTTCAGTCGTTTAATGACTGAATTTGCACATCCATCCCATATTGTGGAGCAATAATCTATTTGGGTCTGAATATGAGAATTATAGAATAATTTTCTAGTGTTTTCATACAGTAAGTTTTTATTTTTCGCTAGCTGGTATACTTTTTTAGCAGTTTGCTTAACAAGTGTTTGGACATGGGAGTTAAAGGTAGATGTATGACAAGCTAGATGTTATGACCATTTGGGAGCGAGCAAACAGTGAGGAGGCACTAACAGATTATTACGGTCTTAAGAGAAAGGTACTGCAAGGAGTTACCAGGGAATGTGGCCGACGCTTAACACCCAAAAGAAGGGTGAGATGAATATACAATCAGACAGTTATGGTACCATCAGAACTGAAAATCTTCATTTGCTGCTGAAGATGGAGAAAGAGCGCTTATGGGGGTGTCTCGAAAGCTGTGATGTCGATTTTTGAGTCAACATTCAAGGTTTATATGTATAACAATCATTGTTATATTTATTTTAATACTTTCTGTATGAATTAAAGATAAGAAAATCGACTACATTGAAAAAAGTGAATGTTCACCCACTGAGAATGTCGCACAGAACACAAAACCTCCTAACTATTGATACAAACTCTATTTATATCTAAAAGAACCCCAATTATAAATTGAAAAATGAAGCCCGCTACTTTCATCATGAGTTCATCACTGATCCTTTCTGCACTCTCTACACGTGTGTGAAGTGTAAAATAATTTCATGCTGTGGATTATCTTGCTTTATTATTACCAAAGTTTTTTTTTTGTGTGTGTGGTAATCAAAGGCCTAAATTTGTATCTTTTCCCTGCCAATCTCGGTATTTTCCCCCTAATCTCCTAGCTTACAAGTTTGCTATTTGTGGTATAAACTCAAGTCTTTATCCTGACGTATATCTTATCTTTGTGCAAAAATGGCTAACTCTATTTTTAGTGAGACCTCTGCCTTATCATGTATCTTTAATCTGTCAAAGATGCAACTATCAGATCCATGATGCGGCTTATATGATCAATAAAACATGATGATTAACTTGAATTTTCTCAAGGCTTAAATTAAGATTCACAAGTAAAATTATAAAATCGCCATTACCAGTGACTGTGTGAGATTATTTTTTCTTCAGTTTTTAAAATATTGTAGAGAAATTCACAAATACAGCAAAAAACACATTCGAGAAAAAATGTATTTATATTTAGATGTAAACATGTAAAACGAGTCAAGAGAATATTTTCTTCTGATGGAAATAAATGCTGAGTGAGCATGAGTAGTCTACAAGCAAAGCAACCGAAGGCAATGGAGATGTGCTTGAAAACAGATGTTTGAGAATATTATGTGGGGGAGGAACAGATAAATGTGTTGAATTATCAGATCATCCATCAAAACTACTCACACACACACAAAAGAAGATGAATGAAATTTATGGAGCATGTGATCAGCGGAGATGGAATATAAAATCAAAAGTAGACAGAACAAAAATATGCGTTTGGAGAATAACTATCAGCTGGACAAGAAATGATCAACATGTGTCACCCGAAGAATCACATTTACAAACAGGTGAACTAGAGAAGACAAAGAAAAAGAGATTAGGAAGAAGAAGAAGGAGGAGGAGGAGAAGAAGAAAAAAGGAAAAGAAGAAGAAGGAGAAGAAGAAGGAGAAGAAGAAGGAGGAGGAGATGTATAAAATAATAAAACCAACAAATAAAGTCTACCTTTGTTTTCTTCCGTTTTAATCTCTCCCTACAGAGAAATGTGACGCCCGCTTTGAATACAAAAACAACATTTTCAAATTCAGCTGATTTCTTCACTTTGCCAAGGTAGTCTGTGACATTGACCCACTCAACAGTTCCATACATCTGCAGATCTCCAACGTTCAGTTCTATTGGCTGGAAACAAAGTATCATGTGACAGATTAGGTGACTGTATAAAGTAATTAGTGAACAGTTAGTAATATATGAACAGTGGAGAAATTGTAAACAGTGAGTGAGTGGTGAACAATGAAAAAGGTTAAAGTCATGAGGATCGACTTCACTGCATCATGTTTTATCCCTTTTTACACATCAAACGTGTTTACCTTACTTTTTTTTTTTTTTTAAACTTGAACAGATACAATTTCTTCATTTCTTACATAAACTTGTCTAGTTTTGTTCAAGGTATTTCTAAAATATCTCCTCTCCCAGGTGGGCAGTTTTCTTTCCTGTTCTGACAAGGTACAAAGATTTCATGTATACATTTTATTCTGCATTGGGATAGTTGCGTGTTACAAAACTGGGAGTCAGTTGATAGAAGACATTGTTGGCTTGTGGGATTCTTGTTGTGATCCCTAATCACCCGCTGATCTACATAAATATGGGTCTATCAGCATATACATAATGCATCAATGGCCTGAAAAATACTATTTTCTTCACTTTACTTACATAAATACAGATTTTATTTAAATGGCTGGCTTACACTTTTGTGTGGGTTGTTCTCTTTATATGACTTTGAGAGCTCATCAAACACAACTCCATATTCATCGTAGATCTTCTGCATTTCATTGATGTGTTCAGCAACTGCTTCCATCCCTTTTAGGGCCTCTGAAAAATACAAAAGCTAGGTCAAGAAACCAGACTGATTTGAACCTGAGATTATGGTGTCATGAAAGTGCTTTTACATTAGCAAAATAAAAACAAAATGGAGAGATCACAACAAACATTACTGATCAGGACCCAGCACTTGGAACAAAATGCTGTAAACTCAGAGAACATCTACATCAAATGGGTCTTGCTAATTCTGTCGCATGTGGTTGCAGTACACCAAAGCAAGCCTCAGAGCATGGCTTATAAGAGAGAAAAAAATCTGGCCTACAGGAGTGACCCTAAAAGATTACATATGCAGTACCAATGAAGACTTCAATTGCACTTTTCTGTTTGTTCCCTATATTGAAATAGATGCACAACAAACACTGATCACTGAAGAAGAACAAGAAGTGAATATTAACAATCAAGTGATGACTGTGAAGCAGCAATGTCAATCAGAGGAGAGTGCAATGCAGTAAGCCAAAGAAAACGATTAAATCAATATATAGAACTGAGGGACATTTGAGAAGGGGATGACTTTGAGAGCTTTGTTTATACACATTTATACACAGTGTGTTGTGAAGTGAGGCTGATCTCATTAACCCATTGAATGGCTGACTAAGTAACTAACTACAACAAAACCATGTTAATATGATCAACATAAGATTAACTGTTGGTTAACTTGAACCTAATACTTCTATTAGTCTCTGGTTAGCATGAATATTTTAACAGCAACTAATACAAACTCTTGATTTTTCAGTCCATAGTAATTGGTTTTACTGTGAAATAATTGAACACTTACTCACTAACTAAATAAGCAACTAACTAATTAACTAACTAGACAATTAACTAACAAAACTACTAACTAAATAACTGACTCACTCATTACCTAAATAAGCAACTAACTAATTAACTAACTAGAAAATTAACTAACAAAACTACTAACTAAATAACTGACTCACTCATTACCTAAATAAGCAACTAAGAGAATAACTAACTAGATAATTGACTAATTAAACAGTTAACTAACTGACTCAAGCATTTAATAGATATGCAGCTAACTAAATAATAACGATAATTAACTAACTAGCCAACTGACTGACTCACAAACTGAATAAGCAACTAACTGTAACACTAATTAGATAATTAACTAATGAAGCAATAACTATACAACAGACACACTCACTAACTAAATAAGCAACTAACTAGATAATTAACTATATAGTTAACTAACTAAACAGTTAACTAACTGACTAACTCATTCCCTAACTAAATAAACAGCTAACTAAAAGGCTAATTTTCTAATGTTCACTTCTACCTCTTACTTTTTTTTTTTAATTACCTGATACGTGATGATGTTCATCTGTGTCAGTATGAGTCATATTGCACAACTGCTGTAAGAGTAGTGGGTATTTGAGGATCCTCTGTATAGGTTTGATGAGGTATGATTCTAGTGTGGCTGAGTGCTGTTGCTTGGGATTCCTGGCCCGCAGGAACTCTCGCAAAGCTTCATTGGCATCTGTTGATGGTTAACACTATAGATTATAAATCACACACCACCATCATCATCATTATTGTCCTTTTATGCCATTACATGTAACATAGGGTTCACGGTCTGTTCTTCTGTTACATTCTAGCCTTGCAATCCTTTTGATATTATCAATGTAATTTAGTCCAACTTCTTTGGCTTTTCTCTGTAATGTTTTTTAGAATCTCTTGTGGATGTCTTGCCTCCACAATCCTTTTATTTCCAATTTTAGTGCTAGCTTAGTGATTCTCTGCTCCTTTATTCTCAGGATGTGTCCAATAGAGTGTCATCTACTCTGTCTTATAACTGTTGTTAACAGTAGTTGCCTAGACATGTACCCTATTTTTTTACCACTCTTGAATTCATAACCTTCTCTCTTAAACATTTTTCTCAGGCATTTGTGTTAAATGCATTTAACTTCAAATAAAAATAAACTGTGTAGCTGGTGGAAAATAGGAGTATCACATCACTCAATGTTGGGAGTCATAGTAGCATAAATGCTAGATGCTCACCCATGCTCCTGAAAGTCTAGGGTTCAAATTCACATTGAACAGTGTTCAAAGTTAGAATGCATCTGCCCAAGTGGCAGGGAACAACCAACTGTTAACAAATAAGTCAGTAAAATGGATGCACATACAAAACTCAGGCCCTGGCACAAAGCCTTTGTCCAAATGGACAAACAACCAGAACTTTAGGTCTTTCTGGAGCAGCACTGTTTTTCTATATGGCCAAGAGGGCAACTTTCTGTCCAGTATATACAGGCAACAATAAGTGTATGCAGAGTATCAACTGATCAAGCACATTATGAAGATTTTGTAAGAAACCTTGCTGTAATGTTATGTGATTTTCACTTTTTATTTTTATCACTATCAACATCACTGCACATTTCCATGCATGCTCAATCCTCCTAGGCAGCAATCACTCCACAGTGATTGTTCCAATGAGGAGCTGGTTATAATATCTCATATCTCGGCTTTGAAGGTGGCATAGACGTGCTTCACTGTGCTTTACTCCCAGCTCTGTCATTTGTGATTGTGGTACTATGTTGCTGACTAGGTCTTTTTGATATTTTATTCATTTTAGAGCAGAAGAGCAGTTGTCAGGGACCTAATCTAGTCTACTTATTTTATCTGGCTCGCTAGGTAGGCCAGCCGACAGACTCAACTACCCAGACACACTTAAGACGACACTCCTGCTGAGTACAACCGTAATCTTTAATGTACAATGAACATCAGACGTACAACACTTCAACTGGGCTAAGCAGCTCCCATCCGAAACTGCCTTGGCGATGACAGCTTTACAATCACTAATCACCCCAGGTCAGCTCCCATGGATCTAGGGGAGAACGACTCTTAGCTGGCAGTGTGTCAGTGCCAATCAATCCGCCGTCTATTGCCATACGGGACTTCAGCAATACACGGGAGGTGTATGGCCTAAGCGTGCCTGGGCAGTGTTATCGCCATTACAAGGCGCGTCACCTACAATTAACAGCTCAAACAAATACTGCCTGGAATGTCTGCTACACAAAGAAACCTTAACTCCCTATACTATCTAGCCGAAACATTAAATAGAAATACAGCCTATTATAGACACTAAATACGAATATCCTATTTCAACCTAACCGTCGCTACCCTAACGTTACCTCGTCGTAATGTTTCCGTCCTGTCTCTCTCTGTCGACCAGCACACAACCGTCGTACACAACTGTCCGCACACAACTCTCCTCAAACCGGCTTCGACAAAGCCTTTTGTATTTTCCCTGAGTTTGTGGCTTAATCCTTGTCAGCTGAGTGAACTCGACCTGGCCTCTTAACGGGTACCAGCTTATTGCGTGGTCGAGCTGTCCGTTCGCATACTGAGTTGTACTGAAGGTCAACTCGTACAAACGTGATGATTCACTATAGGACATCCGTTGTGCTTCCCATAGCCGAACTGGCCTCTGACAGCAGTATTAATGAAAAATATGAAACAAAAAGTTACCTGGATTTAGAATCTTCTGTGATCTAGAATGGCTGGCACAAAATGAACTGTACACCTTGAAATGATTGGCATAGTATAAGAATGATCCTCCAACTGAAAACAGAACTTTCTGGGGAAAAAAGAAAGGAAACAAAATATTGTAATGTAATGTTTTGACAAGATGAAAAAAAAAAAAAAAACAGGTAGTACAATTTATCCCCTGGCACATTTCACTAATCAGAAGTGGTGCTTACAGAAATAAATAAGGTGATGCAGACAAATGAATTCTTATAACCAATATACTAACATACAACACCCTCAAATAATACCCTATATTACCAAGGGCAATCACAGGCTAATATCCTTATCTTTCTGCTTATAGTTTTTTGGAGTTTACTGCAGCTATGGCAACTTCCGACCTACAAATGGCGGAGGCATGGAGCAATATTACTCTTCAGGTTGTTTTTGCCTCCCGCAGTGCTTTGCTGGTGCAATTTCCACATGTGGACGGTAGTCTACTGTTTCGCGGCCTGAGCTACTGAGTTTAGTGCTTGTGCAGCCTTGTGAGCTCTATATTTCCTGTGGAATGTCTTTCATTTGTGCAGCAGTTGTGTTATGGTGTTCATTATGGCCAGTAGTCGGTTTACGTGTGAGCTGGTAGAATACCTTATGTAGTAATTCTACACATGTATGGCCAACTTGTCGTGCCTGACTACTTCCATCAAAGAGGGATTGCATTTCTGGTGGCGACTGTTAACTTTTGGCACCTCTGGCAACTTGAATGTGCTTTCTATGCTTGTGCATATTTCTGTATTGTTCCAGGGCAAATTGTTTATTTATAAGTTTTTTCAAACACGACAGTGAGAGACACAACATTTCATTAGATTTTCACTGGTACAGTAAAGGAGCAAGTATGGGGAAACCCAATTGTAGTGAAGTTAAAACCTCGACTAAGACTAAACTATAGCAACTTGAAGTCTGTGTTTCTTGCACATTGTATAAACACATTTTCTATACTGACTCTGCAAGAGTTCAAAAGATCATATGACATGGACAAGGTGTGATATTTCTGATCATATGTTTATTTACTCACTTTCCCAACTATATTTGTTTTGCCTTTAAAGGTAGCTTGACACAATGAAACGTAAATATAACTTAATTTACATTTAATGTTTTACAGTCTTTTGTACTCATTTATTATATATATTTTGGTGATTTTGATGAAACAGTTTTTTTTTCAATAACACACACAAGTGACTGGAGGAACAGGATATAAACTCCACAGTGTGGTCTATCTACAGGCTGGATTCCTAAGATTTCAAAGTACACCATATGTCTTCATGTTAGGTCCAGAGTGAGATTTCACAATTTTCTGTTGGTCTATAAATCAACCAGCCAGCCATTTGACCCACCAAACAACTGATTGCCTCCTTCAACCCCCCAACAACTCAAGCAATCAGTCACCAACTGTCCACCTAACAACCAAAAATGCATGCCAAACAGATACTCAGACAACCAGCCAAACGCCAAAAAAACTAATAACCTAACCAATCAACCATCTAGGGGACCTCCTAGCCAAACAACCACTCAACCAATAAACCAGTCATTCACTCAACACAATCAACCAATCAACTACTTTATCAACAAACCAGCCAGTCATCCCATAGTCAGAGCCACATATAAAAACAATGAAGCTAACCTTAAAATGTGTAATATCATTAGTGATGAAGAAATCAGCCACAGACTCAACTGCCTCTTCTAGACTGTGGAGGAATCGCTGCTGGAATGCAACAATTTCTTGGATATTACCAAACAGCTGCTCAATTTCACCAGAAGTGAGGAAGGTCTCCTCTTTCAGTGGCTCTAGGTAGCGTTCAGTTAAACATTTTAAATCCTGGACAGGGAAATAATTTATTCATTAATACTTTACAAACACTACTTCAAGTTGAGAGGTACTAGAATAAGTAGCGAGCTTCTTCCATCTTAAACATGTAATAACAGATGATGGCAGAAGTGAAATAAAATGAGAAAGAAAGTAGGAATATCAAAGCAATGTTTGCCTATTGCCTGGCATATTTTGTGGTTTCTTGGCAGGAGCATACTACCCTAACAACTGAATAAATCAAGCAAACAAATTAATCCTTTACAACTGAATTATAAAACAAACCAATAACAAAAGTAACTGCCTGTTTTACAAAGGCAAGTAGAGGTTTACTACAATGTCTTTCTGTCCACACAAATCTGGTTTGAAGTGATTAATCATAGCTGCTTCAAGAAATAAAAAAACTTCCATTGATAAAAGCATACAGCATTCAAAATGCACCATCCTTGTTTCCAATGTGGCCATACATTTTGAATTCTGTGTAATTCAACCTTAGACAGCCAAAATGTATTAGAACAGACATACACACAATTTATTGCAATATTCAGAAAGAGGCAGCCATGTTTAGCCACACTGGGAGAAGAGAAAACTGGGAAACATTGTGATAACTGGAAACAATTATGGAAAAAGAGACAAAGGAAGACAGAGAGAAGATTCTTGACAGCCTTTTTTTGTGCGAGGCATGAAAAGATTTCAGCATATAAACTAATACATGCTGTTCAAACTCAGAAAATTAGGCAACGCAAAACCACCAACTATAGTTGGCAAGACATTTGATGATGATAATGATGGTATTGATGATGATGACAACGATTTCAGATAATTATTTACTACCTTCCCTTAAGTTGGTTCTTATGCAATCATACTATACAAGGCAACTAATTAAGGATCTGCTAAAATTGTATGTCATGGGTTCTTCTTCTTCTTCTATGCGTTCGGTTTCGTATACTCAGATCAGACCATCAGGTGGGTTCCCTCTATGAACTCGCATGTCAGAAGCAGGTCCTTCATGGTTCCCCATAGCTTGCTCTGCACAGTTTGCTCTGTAGGCCAGGTGTCTTTTCAAAGTTCTAGGTAGAGTGGGCAGGTATGCAGAATGTGCTGAAGTGTTTGTGGTCCTGTTTGACAGGCACACTGTGGGGACTGTACAATCTTTATATTATGCATGTGGTAGTTGAGCCTGCAGTGTCCCGTTCGTAGATGGAAAATTGTTGTATGTTGCTTTCTGTTGAGTCTGCTAATAGGGTTTTGTGAATGTTTACTGTTTGATCTCTCCACAATTCCATGTATTTTCCTTAGATAAGTTTAATGACAATGAATGGGCATGTTGTTTCTCCTTTGTTCAATTTTTTTGCAAGTCTGTTTGCTAACTAATTTTGTGGTATGCCGCATTGAGCCGGGATCCACTGGAGAACAATTTAATTGTTTTCTGTGAGCCTGTTTAGCTGGCCGGTCAGTTCTCTCTCCATGTTGTCTTGTGGATCCATCTGAGTCACCTGAAGGGCTGACATGCAGTCACAAAGGAAAACAATTTTATCATGGGTTGAAAGTCCAGATTATGGAAACAATTATGGAAAAAGAGACTTTAACTCTTTGAATCCCAAGAAATGCATCATACGTTCATAGGTTCCTACCTAGAAGCCCAATGAACGCATGTTGCGCCGATTTTTTTACTTTCTTAACTACTCCCTGGGCCTGTGATGCTAAACCCTCTGGGACTCAAAGAGTTAAGTCTAGCTATTAACCACAACACAATGTGCAAACCCCCTATAAAAAGCAAATACAGAAAAAGATGCAGAAATAATTACCTTCACATAAGCCCTCTCTGTCTCAACAAGTTCCATGATAGCTTTTCTCATCCTTTGTGCATCAGAAAGCGGTTTGTTGACAATGACCCCATTTTCTGATGACATATTCAAGACTTCATCCTTTCGGCAGACAGGTGATACTTCTTCTGCACTCTGCCACAGAAAATTACTCATTGTACAAATTTTTCGTAAATCATCAAATCTGATATCTGATCTATTGAAATGTTATGTTTATGTTGAATCTGTTTATGTTGAATATGTTCTAAGGGATGGCAGAGAGAATCTTGGAATGTGAATTAATAAATTAGGAAGAGCTTGTGGGCAGCAGGGCTGTGGTTTATGATACAGCTGTGAATGATCTGGGTAGCAAAGGCTATGGTTTATGATACAGCTGTGAATAATCTGGGTAGCAGGGCTGTGGTTTATGATACAGCTGTGAATAATCTGGATAGCAAGGGCTAAGGTTGATGATACAGCTGTGAATGATCTGGGTAGCAAGGGCTATGGTTTATGATACAGCTGTGAAAAATCTGGGTAGCAAGGACTATGGTTTATGATACAGCTGTGAGTAATCTGTGAGTTGGTACAAACAGCAGAACATGTCCTGCAGACTGTCTCTCATAGAACCCACTAAAAAGTTAATACCGGCTCAATAATTCAATACCATACTCAAAGCTGTATTTAACTAAATAAAATAAAAATAAAAAAGAACTCTACAAAACTCCAAAAAAAATTTTTTTTAAAGGATTTATTGGTGTAAATCAGGGATGGGATCACAGAAAGTAGAATATCACACTTTTCATCCCTTTTCAGCAAGTAACATATTTCTGTTGCTATGTTTACAAGATGCTATGTTTTGGTTGGTAGTTCAGGTTATAAATTCTACAAGATATATTGCATCAGATGTTATACTTGTAACAATGTAAGTATAACAATGTAAAGATAGCAATTTTGTAAACAGATATTTCACTGTATTAATAATAAATGTTTACCTCAGAAACTTCATCTATTCGAGCTGGGGAATGAGTCCTTGATGACTTGTCTCTGTAACTCATGGGAACACATGTGTCAACTGGAAAAAAAAAAAAAAAGGTATCAGAATAGATAAGTAAACTGGTTTGTAGGGAATCATCTGAAAGATTCAGTTTAAACTCCTAACTGTAGCTGTCTCAAGATGTAATGTAACTATCTATTTAGATGCCTTTCCGGCTATCCTCCAAATAACGGGCACAAAAGATGGCCACCAATGGCGGTCAAAAACACGGCCTCAGAAACCAGGAATAAAGTCGCCGGAAGTGTGCAACTGACACGTGACAGAGGCTCTGTTAGGGTGTTTTTGCAGCTGCCATCTTTTGTGCCCGTTATTCGGAGGATAGCTGCCTTTCCTTATGAGGCATGTGTCTAGGTTGTTCATAGCAAACAATGGAGAATATTTAAATCAACAAAGTCTAGTATTTGATGTATGAGAATGTTTGAGAATTAAAGTGGAGGCAGTCACTGCAGCTTTCCACTGGGTTAAGAACAAGCTTCTGAAACATGTGATTAATATAATGGACTCAAAAACAAAAGGCTGTTGAACTGTTGAATGTTTAATGCTGAATTAAGAATCACCATCACAACACTCAGGACAATCCCATAAGTTCTCAGTCCCCATCTTTAGCAACTACTCGCTGCATCATTCCCCTTAGACCATAATGATCTATCTGCACCTCTGCACTGTTCACTTGCTCCCAAATGACCCTCACAAAATCTAACTTGTCATACATCAATTCACCACCAAGTAGTGCAGAGCCAGCTAGGCTATCTGCATGCTCATTTCCCAACACACCGGCATGACCTGGAGAAAATATCCAAAGGATGCTACCTACCCGGGACCTCTGAAGCGATGCTTGTGACTCTGCACAAAGCATGACTGTTTTCACCTTTCTCAACAATCTCTGTGTGTTCAACTGAGCTGAGTCAAGACAGATACTTCAGCACTTGAGATATTTCCAAATGGATTTATCTCTATCTTCAGGAGCCAGTAGAGAGTTTAAATTCCAGTTGTCCAGCAACAGTTTGATTAAATGTTCATCTCACTTCTCCCTGAGTGTACAGTGTCGGGTGAAAAGGGTGAAGACGGCATACTTCATGTAGAGTGGCAAGCATCACTTTGGACAGCATGGGTAGTGAGCATGCTTTGGCTTGTTTTCTTCAGGTTTGTTGGGTCAGGAAATGGATATAAAAACTTGCTGGCTCTGTTCCATTTGGTTATTATTTGAAACATGATATGGCAGATGTGGTCAAGACACTATGGGAGCCATAAAACTGCCATTACTACATGAATTTACAACTTTTAAGGAAGGGTAGGGGGGGGGGGGGGGAAGAAGGGCTTTTAGCCTCAGAATTGCTATTGCCATGAACGATGCAGGTTAAGATTTTCCCCAGTACTGGCCCATTCATTGACTCATGCATTGAAATCACCACAAATGAGGAGCCAGTAGCCAGGAATCTTCTACAAGTCTTTCAGCCAGTCCCACTGTTGCTTTGTAACTAATGAGCCCACGGTAGCATATACATTTATTATGTTCCAACATAGGCCACCAATGTCCATCTGTATTCCCTGCACCTCCACAGCATCATGATTCCAAAGACGCCGGTCAAGCACCACATGTTTCATTCCCTCCTTCACTAGCAGACATTGCCCATGTCTCCCATGTCCAGCAAGTTTTACATAACTGACATATCTAGGGCAATGATATTTGTCTGCATTCAGCTCCTGAAGCATGATCACATCAAAATTATATATCAGCCTCTCTAGTGTGGGCCCTCTCTGTCTGGCACTACAACAATTCCAGAAGCACTCTTACATGGTTAAACCCCAGTCGCTCTATTTTATTTCTGGCCTAAATCTCCTGGCTTTTGCCCTTCTATTTCTTTGCTTTCTCACCACTTCCCTATTTTCTCCTCTTAACTCTCTCTTTGCTGCTAGCTGAAAATGACGTCAAGTGCAGAGCATGTGCTCCATAGTTCCGTCAGCAATTCTTATAAAACGAAAACTCCATCTGATACAATTATTATGGTGCAGGAAGTAGAGCCTGCTTGCTAGGGAAAAGGTAATGGATATCCTTATGGAGTCCATACACCTGGCGCCGCCTCTCCGGTTGACCAGATGCCCACGTTCAGGACTGTCTATCTTACAGCCATTAAGCCTCTCAGTACAAAGATCCACCTTAGGCTTGTTTTTTTTAAATCGAGGTTGTCTCCTCTAGATCCGTTGTGTTTTGTCCCAAGATTGCGCGTCTTGGTTAACAGGTTCACCTGGGGAAGGGTGTGCATTTTCAGTCATGCACAACGGTCTTGACTGTAGAAAAAGTTAATCAGGTCAGAGGACTTGACACTTGAGTGCGTCTTTTCACCTATAAGGCTAGACCTAGAGACTCACAAGTGGGAAAAGCTGGTGTTCTCCATTCCCTGAGAGTCTTAGCCACTACAGCCCTGAGTCTCCATGACCCTCGACCCAGTACCAAAGATATTCTATGAAACAATCATAAACATACAGTCCTCCAGCCACTCTTAGCATTTAAAGATCAAAACATTATTCAAAAATGTAACCCTTACCACTGTCTGACAAAGAAGATGGAGTCACATTTCCAATAGATCTGTCTGACAACCGAGAATGTGATGTAGGTGGTGATACTACTGTGTGGTCAACATGTGATTCTGTATGTCTTTGAATGGGTGGTTGTGTCCGCATGGACCGTACTGTCAAAAATAAGGTGCGTGATTCATGGAGAAGTGTCTCAATATACACCATATCGAGTTCAGAAATAATTTTTCCATTGATGATCAGAATTTCATCTCCAACCATCAAACCTGTGAGATTTTAATAATAAGATTATAATGTCACCTAAAGAAAGTACTTATGAAATAACTGAGAAACAAAAATCTAACTCCGGCTCAAGCTAAAACTGGTAATACAGGTCTCTAAAATAAGGTAAAAAGAAAACTTACTAGAAGTGTAAAATGTTAAGTGGTCACTAAACCCAAAAATTTTTTGTATTTTTTATTTACAATGTTAGACTAATTATTTGATACATTTGCATACTTTAGGTTTTAAAAAAAATCATGGTTGCCATGGCAATAGCCGCCATCTTGGGGAAAAAACAACATTTACTTAGAATCCTAAATTTTCAAAAACATAGGTATTGAGCAATAGATGATGGATTCCTGAACTTTAATCCTATGTGGTACAGGTTTATTTACTTTAAAGATGTTTCTAAAAATTTTTTGGAGAATTTTAAAATGTAGGTTTGTTGAAAAAAGTCAAACAAATATAGCTGTATAAGACAATAATCAAATTTAAAAAAAACAAAAACTTTCTAAAATCTACTTTTACATAGACGTGTCCTTATAATATTTTTTAAGGAGTATCTACACCAAATTTGAGCCATGTTCAGAACCAAGAGAGAACTCAGGAATTTTGCATAAGAACCCCATACTCATCTTATGATATCAGCAGTAGTCTGATTATATGTCTGCCTTGCCTTTCCTCTCATTAGTTAGTTAGTTAGTTAGTCTTTCCTCTTGTGTCGAGTGCGGCACATAGGGCAGAGGTCATGACTCTCCATGCAAGGCGGTTCGTTGCAATCCGTCGTAGGTCTTGGATGTTTGAGTGGCCCATGAGCGAGCCTTCCCTGATGATAGTTCTACGTAGGGTTTCCCTTGGTCTTCCACAAGATCTTTTCCCCTGTGGTGTCCAAATGAGGGCTTGGTAACTGTGACAGTACTGGCAATGACCACTGACGCTCCCCTAGTTACCGGTATAGTTAGACATATATATATATAACATTAGTTAGAGGACCCGATTTTCCCTATTACTTTCCGCTAGAAACCAGATTGGACTAGTTACATTCAACTCATGGATTACTAGCTTTGCAACCAATCAAAGTGCCCGGTCCGACCAATCAAAAAAAACGTACCAGATGGCGCTTTATCTTTTTGGCGCATGCGCATGACTGGCGTCACGTGGGTCGTCCATTTTGAGCGGAAGTCGCCATGTTTCGGTCATTCCAATTCCAAACGTGGTCGAGTGAGATCGTTAGTTTTTCAAGTGCAGTATCCAGATTAGCGAGTGTAGTTGTATATTAATTCGTTCTGGATTACTGTAGTGATTTCTGACCGATCTGAGGGCCCTGCGGCATTTTTCATAACACCAACGACTCAACGATTAGTACACAATTGTACCCATTGTCATGTCGCCATAGAATCGGCACAGACAAAGAGACAGTTTAAGGGATTTAATCCCAGTATTCATAACCGACTACTAGTCGTATTTTTAACCGACCACGTGTCGTACTTTTTAAACGACCACGTGTCGTATCTGAACTTTAAGAACATCAGCGGTGGATTATCTACAAGAGGATATCACAAGAAATAAAGATCTACAAGAAGCCAAGTGTTCCGGTTTCCCCATCAAGTCCAACCTTTGGGAGTATCCACGGGTGAGCTGTACTCGTGCGGGGGAAGGAACTGGACCCAGTAGACATTTCTCTAACCTGATGATGAGAACCATTTGGTTTAAAAACAAACACCAAACCACTGTCAATTTTTAGCCAGTCAGTTGTAGTAAAATTAAAGCGACATCATTCTTCATTCACTACTATTCTCGTCTGTCTTTGTTGCCGTGCGTGAGTAATAGTTGAGTGAGCGAGAAGGGGGGCATTCTTCGCTTTCTTTCTCTGGGCGCTCTTTCTTTAAAAGTGGCAGAGGAGTTGCCACCAGGATAACTAGTCGGCCTAGCACCACCCATCGGAGCAGGGTAGACTTATCTTCCTGTCCTCTGTCCCAGGAGTAATATCTCGGTCTTTCTACCCTAGTAGACAATGAAGTACCATACTTCTAGTGAGCCACACTTATAGACTGAAGATACCTCCTGTATAGGAACCCTACCCTTCCTAGGGCTCTCCTATAGTTGTGACAACTGGTACACTCGTCCGGGATTTTACCAGAGACTATTTCCTAGTAGTCTATAGCTTTATAGGTACTGCACAACTGTTTAATAAGACTGAGCTAAAAATTGATGGTTTAAAATGTTTGTGTAAAATGATTCAAAATTTTAAGTAGTTCAGTTCCAGACCTGGTGTTTTGTTACATACTGTTGTTGTTACGTTACGTATCCGTTGTGACGTGTATAATACATACAGTACTATTTGGTGTTCTACTATAACTGTCAATCATAACTGCTAAGTGATTCTGTTGCGTTGATCTAGTTTTTCTGTCTACTCTGCCTACTAAACAACCTACCCCTCAGGTCATTGATAGAAGCCACTACCTATAGTCATGCCTTTCAAAAGACCAACTATGGCTGAGATAAGGGAAATAGGAATAGAGCTGGGGCACGAGGGTGAAGAGTTAAAAAGGTACATGCAAGATGTAGATAGAGAATACCGGGTGGATGAAAGAGAGTATGGTAAGGCTGAAGCAGAGGCTAAGGAAAGAGCCTTAATTCGAGAAGAAGAAAAGGCAGAGAAAGAAAGGGAAAGGGTAGAGAGAGATAAAGAAAGGCAACATGAAATTAGACTTCGTGAACAGGCCCCAATACCCTCCTCACCGATTCCCAACTATTCTTTACCTAGCCCTGATGGTTCATCTCAGAATAATCTTGTGGGAGCCCTGAACTTTCCATTGATGCACTTCGATGAAAAAGCAGATAAAATGGACACCTACTTAGAGAAATTCCAAAAGATGGCGGAGAACTACGGGCTGGAAAAAGAGAAATGGAACTTTAAGGTTTCTCAGGGGCTTCGAGGAGTAGCTTATGATGTTTACAATCAGTTACCTCGGGGTCAGGAAAATGACTTTGAGGCATTAAAGCAGGCACTTCTCAAAAGATATGAGCTTACCTCCGGAGCATATAGGCATAAGTTTCGAACAGCCCAACGGCAAGCGGGTGAATCGTTTAGCCAACTGCTGAGTAGACTCCAAAGCTATCTTTCAAAATGGATGACTTTAGGGGGTCATGATCACTCATACGATGGGTTGGAAGAAATGGTGCTGGCTGAGCAACTGAGGGAGTGTATGTCGAAACCTATGCAGACTTTCTTAACAGAGAATGGGGCTGAACGCTTAGACGACATGATTACTCTTGCAGAACGCTATTATGCAGCCCATTGGGAAGTATCTTTTAAGCCCAAACCCCAACCCACCTTTGAAAAACCTCCGGTGAAAACACCCGTACAACCTTATAAAAATGCTGCAAAGGGGCTTAAACCCCAACATAATCAAAATCAAAACCCCCAGCCGCAACTAGCGTCGGGGTGGAGAAATCCATACTGCAAATATTGCAAGGTTAATACCCACTACACGGCCGAATGCCCGAAAAAACCTGCCCCTCAGTACGCGGCATGTGTGGCAGCTGAAAAGCCTCCTAGTGTACTCTTCCCTACTACGAGGAGACCACCCGTGGTGGAAGTGATCTCAGTCAACAGACAGAGAGTCGATTGTCTCTATGATACCGGCCTCCAGTATGACAGTTTAATTGCATCATATCTGGTTGAACCTGGCCAGCTAACTGGAGACACTATTAAAGTCCGCGGGGCTACCAAGAGTTCCCCCACTATGACTTTGCCTATAGCTTTAGTTGAAGTGGAGTCCAAGTATGTTACTGGGACTGTATCCGCTGCTGTGGTAGATGATCCGATTTATCCTTTTATCCTAGGGTGTCGGTATGTTTATTTAAGTGAACCATCTACTCCCATAGCTTTAGCGGCTGTTCAGACTAGGTCTCAGGCTAAAGATAGCCTAGAGCCTGTTCAACCTTTAAACCCCCTTCCGGGTGAAATAAGGGCTGCCCAAAAACAGGACCACACTCTTCAACCTTGCTACGGAAAGTTGCCCAAAGCCCAAACCCCTCCTAGTAAGGGAAACTTTTATGTCAAAAGTAATTTGCTGTACCGTAGGGCAGGAAAAGATGGAGACGAGTTTGGTCAACTTGTTGTACCTTCCCCCTACCGGACGCAAATTTTGCACATGGGACATACTATCCCATTCTCTGGACATATGGGGATCGGGGCTACACAGCAACGTATCGCCTGCCATTATTACTGGCCGGGGATGAATGGGGACATTAAGCGGTATGTAAAGTCATGTCCAGAATGTCAAAGGGTAGCTCCCAGGCATTGGACAGTTCCAGTAACTTTAGGTGACATGCCGTTGATGAACACTCCATTTGAGAGAGTGGCAGTCGACATAGTCGGTCCACTCCCTCGCACCAAGAAAAGAAATTCCTTTATTTTAACTTTGGTGGATACCTGTTCGATGTGGGGGGAGGCGATTGCCCTACCTGCTATCGATTCAAAGCAAGTAGCGGAAGCACTCGTGACCATTTTCACAAGATTGGGATTTCCCAATCAAATTTTGACAGACAACGGCTCACAGTTCCGAGGGAAACTGATGGGAGAAGTCTTCCAGATTCTACAAACCCAGCATATCCACACTAGTCCATATCACCCACAGTCAAACGGCCAGGTGGAAAGATTTAACGGAACCTTAATGACGATCCTGAGGAAGTTAGCTCAGGAAAAACCAGAGGTTTGGGATGAGTATCTACCAGCGGCTTTATTTGCCTACAGAGAGGTACCCCATGGATCTACGGGAATCCCACCTGCTACTCTTCTATTTGGACGACCTATTAAGGGGCCCTTGGAAGCCCTAATGAGGACGTGGACCGAAGAGAAGGCGGAAGAGACTGTAGTGACAGCCTCCAAGTATGTGGAGGAACTGAAAGGAAAGTTGGAAATGGGTTGGAAACTGGCAACGTCAAATGTGAAAGCCGCCCGCAAGAAACATGCTGCCCTTTATAATAGGAAAGCCAAGGACCGTTCCCTAGAACCAGGAGACAAGGTCATGTTACTTTTGCCAAGTGGCAGCAATAAACTGGAGATTGGTTGGCAAGGGCCCTACTCGGTTGTGGAGAAGGTGTCCCGCACCAATTATAAGATCTCCAAAAGAGGAAAACTGAAAGTCTTCCACATAAACCTGCTTCGAAAGTATTTCGAAAGAACAGACACTACCCCGGTGCACTTGATGACACTTGCGGTAGCTACGGAGGTCGAATGTGGAGAGGCTGCAGGGGTCGAGTACCCGTTACAACCTCGAGAAACAGCTCAGGATGTGGAAATAAACCCCACCCTGTTGGATTCACAACAACGAAGAATAAGAGAGGTCTTAACTGCACACTCAGCTGTGCTCACAGACAAACCGGGTCTCACAAGTCTGGTCGAGTTTGACATGAAACTGACCAGTACGGAACCGGTCAGACAGAGGTGTTATCCTATACCTTATGCTAAGGAGGAAGCCCTCCAGGCTGAGATCGCTCACCTTTTGCAAGAAGGAATTATCTCCCCTTCTGAATCACCTTATAGTGCTAGTGTTGTGCTCCTAAGGAAACCTAGTGGGGAGCATCGGCTTTGCATTGACTACAGGCAACTAAATGGGGTGACGGAATTCCAACCTGAACCCCTACCTGACCAAGGACAACTATTTTCTAGACTTAGTAAAGCTAAGTACTTTTCCAAGATAGACCTCAGTAAGGGGTACTATCAGATCCCAGTAAAGAAAGAAGTTCGCCCTTATTTAGCATTCAGCACCCCTGAGGGGCACTATGAGTTCAACGTCTTACCATTCGGCCTTAGCAATGCACCTAGTGTGTTTACCCGCATGATGAGAATGCTGTTAGGCCCATTAAAACGGCCAACGCTACAACATTTTATGGATGACATCCTCATCGCGTCAGAACATTTTGAAGAACACCTCAACACTCTCGACACTTTGCTAGGAAGGCTTGCAGAAGTTGGGTTAACAGCCAGGCCTTCTAAATGTAAACTGGCTTTTGGACAACTAGAATTTCTGGGACACACCATATCACATGGATATATGTGCCCTGAACAAAAGAACGTGGATAAGTTGCACAAGGCACCTAGACCAAAAACTAAGAAGGATGTGCGGTCCTTTGTATCTCTGTGTGGGTTCTATCAAAAGTACATACAAGACTTTAACACGATAGCCTCCCCACTTACAGATGCTACAAAAAAGGGAGCTCCAGAGATGGTGCGTTGGTCAGCTGACTGTGAGACAGCCTATGCTAGCCTCAAGAGAAAGCTAACCTCCAAACCAATTCTTCAGCTCCCGGACCTCACTAAAACCTTTACGTTGAGGACTGATGCCAGTAATATAGGAATAGGAGCGACCCTACTCCAAGAAGGCAGAGAAGAACCATCCATGTTGTTTCCGATAGCATATGCCAGCCGGAAGCTCAACGGTGCTGAGAGAAATTATTCAACCATTGAGAAAGAGTGTTTATCACTAGTGTGGGCAGTGCAGAAATTCCAGCCATTCTTGTACGGAACGAAATTTAAAGTACAGAGTGACCACCAGCCTCTGATGTTTCTAGCGGCATCTAAGAAGCTCAACACTAGGCTGATGAGATGGTCACTGTTACTCCAACCCTACATTTTTACAGTAGAGTACATTCCGGGGAAAGAGAATGTAGGAGCAGATTTCCTGAGTCGTCACCCTCCAGAAGAGGAGAATGATCAAGCTAACCTAGATGAAGAAGATACGCCAGATGGTCATCTTAGTCTCTAAAAAGTTTGGATCCCAGAACTTTTTTTTTTAACGGGGGGCCTATGTGACAGTACTGGCAATGACCACTGACGCTCCCCTAGTTACCGGTATAGTTAGACATATATATATATATAACATTAGTTAGAGGACCCGATTTTCCCTATTACTTTCCGCTAGAAACCAGATTGGACTAGTTACATTCAACTCATGGATTACTAGCTTTGCAACCAATCAAAGTGCCTGGTCCGACCAATCAAATAGAACGTACCAGATGGCGCTTCATCTTTTTGGCGCATGCGCATGACTGGCGTCACGTGGGTCGTCCATTTTGAGCGGAAGTCGCCATGTTTCGGTCATTCCAATTCCAAACGTGGTCGAGTGAGATCGTTAGTTTTTCAAGTGTAGTATCCAGATTAGCGAGTGTAGTTGTATATTAATTCGTTCTGGATTACTGTAGTGATTTCTGACCGATCTGAGGGCCCTGCGGCATTTTTCATAACACCAACGACTCAACGATTAGTACACAATTGTACCCATTGTCATGTCGCCATAGAATCGGCACAGACAAAGAGACAGTTTAAGGGATTTAATCCCAGTTTTCATAACCGACTACTAGTCGTATTTTTAACCGACCACGTGTCGTACTTTTTAAACGACCACGTGTCGTATCTGAACTTTAAGAACATCAGCGGTGGATTATCTACAAGAGGATATCACAAGAAATAAAGATCTACAAGAAGCCAAGTGTTCCGGTTTCCCCATCAAGTCCAACCTTTGGGAGTATCCACGGGTGAGCTGTACTCGTGCGGGGAAGGAACTGGACCCAGTAGACATTTCTCTTACCTGATGATGAGAACCATTTGGTTTAAAAACAAACACCAAACCACTGTCAATTTTTAGCCAGTCAGTTGTAGTAAAATTAAAGCGACATCATTCTTCATTCACTACTATTCTCGTCTGTCTTTGTTGCCGTGCGTGAGTAATAGTTGAGTGAGCGAGAAGGGGGGCATTCTTCGCTTTCTTTCTCTGGGCGCTCTTTCTTTAAAAGTGGCAGAGGAGTTGCCACCAGGATAACTAGTCGGCCTAGCACCACCCATCGGAGCAGGGTAGACTTATCTTCCTGTCCTCTGTCCCAGGAGTAATATCTCGGTCTTTTTACCCTAGTAGACAATGAAGTACCATACTTCTAGTGAGCCACACTTATAGACTGAAGATACCTCCTGTATAGGAACCCTACCCTTCCTAGGGCTCTCCTATAGTTGTGACAGTAACGTATAAAATTAGACACATAATCTTGCCTGGATTCTTGCCTTATTTGTGTATTTGTTTGGAAATCTGACCATTTGAAATTTAGTATTCTTCTAAGGCATTTATTTTCAAAACTGTCTAATTTTGTGTCTAGAGTTTTCGTTGATTTCCAGCTCTCGCATCCATAGGTTAGTACTGGAATCATACAAGAATTAATTCCTCTCATTGGTAAGTATTAATCAGATAACCTGGTCACTTCTAGCTCTACCCTTCTCTCCATACCATAATGATTGATCTATTCATGCTTGTGCAATGTTCAGTTGTTCTCAAAGGACCATGGCCACAACCAGCTTGTCATGCATCACTTCACCGCTCACTGGTTCAGAATGTTATGTTATCACTGACGTCACTGTACACTGGGCACTCCCATGCGTGCTCAGTCCTCCGACGCAGCAGCCACTCATAGGTACTTGTACTAATTGTTTCCATGAGAAGTTGGTTATATTGTCTCCTATCTCAGTATCAAAGATGGCATAGAAGTGCTTCACCATGCTTTACTCCTATGTCATGTTATCATATTAGTGTCAGAGATTTATAATTATCCACCAGCCCATCCCGTACAGCGTTGACAATATCTGCTCTGTCCAAGCTTCTTCCCACATGCGTTGGTGCATTGCTTGCCAGTTGGTCTGCTCGCTCATTACCTTTTACACCCGCATGACCAGGTGTGTAGATCCAGGTGAGGAAAGTTAAGTGTGATTTTTAATGCTTTCTGCACCTGGGTGTAATCTGAGGGTCTGGCGAGAGACATATAACCAGATTGTGGCTAGTAGTATCAGTATTAGAACTCTGTGCTGGCTGCTGAAGATGAGGACATTGCTTGCATGGGAATGCCCATAGTGCTGTGCTGTCAATTCTTGACTCAACTAATATGCTTTAAACATATGCCGCCTGTCTTTATCTTCTGAAGCATGTTCACGGAGTCTGATACAATTACTGCCTGTGTGGCTGTTTGCTCAGACACCTATGCTAGTGCTCTAGAAGCATTGGTTATCTCCATGGTCATGTCTGCCTTTTCATTTTCTTACCAACCTGCATACCCCAGAGAAGAGATTTGAAGGACATCAGCTACCTGGGGTCGCTGAAGCAATGCTTGCCACTCTGTATGAGTCATGCTTGTTTTCAGCTCTCTTAGAACTTTTGACTTTTAAAACACAGCCATAATCATATCACCTGGGCAGGAATTATCATTTATCAGCTGGGCAGGAATTATCATTTATCAGATGGGCAGGAATTATCATTTATCAGCTGTGGAATTTCTGATTCTTAACTGTTTATTGAATACTCCCTGTATTCAGCCCAGTGGCATTAGAACCATATGCACATTTTATTATTACCTGGACACTTTAACCCACTCTTCTCCTTGCCCAATCAAGCATAAATGCAAGCTTAATTTTGTCTTCTGCTTGTGGCATCACAACATACATATTCTATTATTTCAAACATACCTCTTCTATCAAATCAAACTTACATACCTCTTCTATCAAATCAAACTTACATACCTCTTCTATCAAATCAAACTCACATACCTCTTCTATCAAATCAAACTTACATACCTCTTCTATCAAATCAAACTTACATACCTCTTCTATCAAATCAAACTTACATACCTCTTCTATCAGCAACACTGTCCTTTGTCACATCACATACATAGACCCTGAGTTCATCATCTCTATCAAAATCGTCTGTCAACTCAGCCTCAACCGCAAAACCAAACATGCCATCTTTGGTTGGTTTTGTTAACTCTAGTTGGAAAATACACTTCTGGCAAACTTCAATCGCTTCATAGCGCTGAAATACAAGTGTAATTTTGTTAATGTTTTCTGCCCATGTAGATGAATTAACAAAGTAGATCATGTTAATCAACTATTTAATAAGGCTGAGTCAAAGGGATGATATAACTATTATTTACTTATGGAACAGCTAAATCAAGTGTGTAATTTAGTTATCTAATGTGTAAAGTAATTGTTTGAGATCAGGTTATTGTACAATGTGTAATTTTAAAAAATATAGTTATTATCGAGCATGTAAAATAACTGTAAAATAGTTTTTATCTAGTGTTTAACGTAACTGACTGAACTGATTAATATAGCTTTATCTAGTATTTGGAATAGCTGACTCAAAAATCTCATATAGTCTTTACCTGCTATATAAAATAGATGATTATCTGGTCTGATATACTTTTTTTAACTGTATAAAACAGCTGTATAAAACGTGTAATATAGCTACTATATTCTATAATATATAATTGAACGAAATGTCTAAAAAAGCTATCATCTCCTGTATAAAACAGCTGAATCAAATGTGTAATATAGCTCTAATACATTATATTGTTATCATAAAGCTTACATAATAACCTCATCGAATGTGTAATATAGTTTGTTTTTATTTTAAGTACATTTCAAAGACCAGAGTCAAAAGTGGGATTTATTATTGAAAAACAAAATAAAAAATAAACAGAACTGGCATCCCACCCTCCAGATTTCATGATTTATAATCCTCATTATCAACAAGTGCCCTACTGACTGGCCTTGTTAGATGGTTAATGCTATCATTAGGATCAGGGCCAGACATATGTCTATAAACCTCTCTTCCAGTGTCTCCCATGGCCCATCTGTTCAACCAAGTCTCTTTGTTTATAGCTCTTATCAGTGCATTAACCATCTAACAAGAAGGGACCTGGCCACCATCTTCAGACTCAGAACACAACATACTCCACTCAATGGACACCTAAACAGAATTCAGCCACAACACTCCCCAGAGTGCCAGCTATGTAACTACCCCTACGAAACTGTTGAACACCCTCTCTTTGAGTGCCCAAAACTCAGTGAGACAAGAAGAACGCTACTCCCTCCGAGACCAGACAAGTGGAACACCTTATACGGAGGAAAAGAACAGCTTGTAAAAACATACAAATTCCACTACATGGCATTGGGCCAAAGGGCGAAAGCTCATGCGCCGCTGGATCGATGACAACAACAACTGACTGGCCTGGGCGGTCATGCCTCTCCTTGACACAATAGCACTTATAAATTCTTCAACACAAATGGTATTTCTGACAGCATTTTCAGTATGTTCAAACATGTTTTGTCTCTTGCAAATGTCTTGCTGTTTTATTATTTGAATACCATTGTCCTAAGTGGCAGCTGGAGTTAAAATAGAAAATATCTGAGGCAGATGAGTTAAAGCAGCAAATGCCTGCAGTAGATGAGTTAAAATAGCAAATGTATGAGGTAGATGAGTTCAAGGAGCTACTGTCTGAGGTGGATGAGTTAAAAAAGCAACTGTCCAAGGTAGATAGCTTAAGTAGCAACTGACTGAGGTAGATGAGTTAAAAGAGCAACTATGTGAGGTAGATAAGTTAAAAGAGCAACTGTCTTAGGCAGATGAGTTAAAAGTGCAACTGCCTGAGGTAGAATAAATAAAATAGTTATTGTCCAGGGTAGATGAGTTAAAGAAAAAAACCCATCTGTGGTAGGTGAGTAAAGGAAAAACTGTCTGAGGTAGATGAGTTAAAGGAGCAACTATCTGAGGTAGCTGACTGAGCTATAAATTTAAAATAGCAGCTGCCGGAATAAGAAGAGTTACACAAACACTGTATAAGATAGAAGAATTAAAATATCAGATACATGAGGTACAAGAGATAGAAAAGATAATGTATCGTCTCTTTGGGGTAGAAGAGATAAAGTAACAACTGCATGAATCAGAAGAGTTAATGCAGCAACTGGTAGAATCTAAAGAGTTAAAGTAGCAATTATCTGAGATAAAAGAGTTAAAAATAGCAATTGCCTGATTTAGAATAGTTAAAGAGCCAAGTGTCTGGATTAGATAAGTTATTGTAGCAATTGCTTGGGCTAGAAAATTTAAAATAGCAGCTGAGTGAGTCAGACGAGTTGAGATAACTGCATGAGATAGAGAAGTTTAAATAATAATTGCTAAGAGATAGAAGACTTGAAAAAGCAGCTTGGGAGGACTAAAAGTGTCAGCACTGCAAATAAATAAGCAAAACCTACATTACCTTGTCCATATCTCAAATGCAGAATATTTATTTGGATAAAGCTCCCAAAGATTGTAATTAAAATTGCAGTGTACAAGTCTATCTGATGTACAAGTTGACCTGATGTGTAGACCGACCTCACGATTTGTAGTTCAAAATTATCAGTTCAGGGTTATTCCTACCAAGTGTATTTTATACCCATGGTGTAAACTGATTGTTAGTTTTGAAAACAATTTTAGATATGAAAACTTGACTTGCATGCCACAATTCACAGATAAGGGACTTACCAATTTCTTGATATTCTCGTGTTTATCTGGTATGATGAATGTGTTATCTGTGGATCCAAAAGGCTTGATCCTCACATAGTGATCCCGTGGATTAAGTTGTCTTTTACTACATGTTATCTCCAGCAGGTCCTGAACACTAGTGCCTTTATCTACTCCAATGAGCATAGTTTGAAAGTTGTAACACTGCAATACATAAATTCAAGATTTAAATTTCAGCAGTGTTATGCCTCTCCAATCTTAAGTATAAAATGATAAATGATAACAGAAGTGGAACAAAAATAAAAAAAGATGATGACAATAAATATTTGCAGTAATGCAGGAAAAATATTAACTTCCTGCATTTAATCTTCTTCCTCCTCCTCTTTTTGTTATTGTACTTCTTGCTCTTGTTCTTCCTGTTCTTTTTCTATTTCTTCTTCTTCCAACCCATTTTTCTTCTTCTTCCTCCTCCACCTCTTCTTCATTTTCCTCCTCTTCTTCTTGTTTTCTTTCTTTTTTCTTCTTTACTTTATTCTTCATCATCTTTTTTTTTTCTCTTCTCCTTTTTTTTTTCTTCTTCTTCTCCTTACTCCTGCTGTCTGTTTTTTCTTCTTCTTCATATTTACCAAACAGCTTACATTTAAAAAATTTATTTATTGGACACAGGAACGTCCTCCTATCGTTTTTCTTCCAGCATGCACCACCACCTCCTTTCCTCCTCCTCTTAATCTTTCTCCTTTTTTAAAAAGTTACAATAGTTTCCCTCTTATGGGATGCCTTTTGCTGTCGGGATCTCCCTGTGTGTGTTGCAGGGTGCCACTGGGAGGAGGGAGGAGTGGGGGAAGGTGTGGGGTTGATCCCCACTACCTCGTAACTAGCATATCAAAACAAAAGGTGACTAATTAAGGTTGGGTCTTAAATTGGATGTGTTGTGGCCCAAAAGCCATAGATACCAAGGCCTAGCTGTAAACCACACTAAAATGTGCCAAACCCCTTTTTAAAGATGAATGCATAAGAAGGAGAAGCTGCCCAAAATGACTTCCCTCTTATAACTGATAACATTATTACAAAATAAAATGGTTTCCAAACCTGATTATTTGGCACTGAGACCTTGGAAAGACTCTCCTGCCCTGGGCTAGCATCTGGTCCTGCCTTCTCTAAGAGATTATCTGCAGAATCAGAGTGGCTGTGTCCAGTTCTGTGCAGACCTCTGTGAAAGAAATGGAACATGTAGTAGTGGTGGTAATTTGACAAACATCATATTTCACCCAACTGTATTATATATTATATATTTTTTCTTTTAAATTTAAATATGGGATATTTATGCTTGTCACTGACTTTTTGCTACTTAATATTGAACAGATTAAACATTAATTTCAACAGATTATAGGTGTATCAATTTTTAAGGTTTACATGTTAAAAGTGTACTTTTGAAATAATTGTGACATTGTATTTTACTTGGAATTATTTAAAGTGAGCTGGGATACTACCATTCTGTCTTAAGCTAAACTTTATTCTTGTAATATACTGTTAACCATTCCGGAAAGTTCTTTGGAGCTATCTACCGCAAAGTTGATTTAAACTTTCATAAATTTATTACAGCTGGTCATCTATTCATTAAGAGGAGTCCTTTGAAAATAAATATGTCAAACACACTAAAAAAGCGCACAAATAATTAGTAAAAAATGCTGAAATGTTGTGCTGGTCCTGTGCTGCCACCTTGTGCTGGTCCTGTGCTGCTATCTGACAGAGAATCCTGGAATGTGGACATCCATGAGAACCGTGGCTGATTAGTGGCCAGATGCTTCCCTGCCTGCCTGAAGGTCTTGAGACTGAATTTGCAACACTTCAGTTTTTTTTTTTTAACATAACCTTGGTTTCCAGGTACAACCAGCCTAACCTGGCTACCAGGTATAGTCCAGGAAAGTTCAGACGAGTGTCTGATGTTGACAATATCACTCTTCTAGTGCTGATTGGTCTAGAAAAGTTAAGTCTATTATAAAATGTTTGAAGCGCCACTGGCATCAGAAAGAACCTTTACTTTCTCCTAATGTCAGTGGGGTGTGCATTACCTGGGACACACCAAGAGGTCACTGCTGACACACCTGATCCATCACTTGGCCTGTCTCGCTCGCAAGCTAGCCAAGTGAGATGCCTTCCACCCATAAAATACAAGAGCCCTGTATGTAGGCAGATTCTTCACTAATCAGTCCTCACAGGAGGCTATCACTGTTCAAACGTCAACAATACTACACAGAATGAGCATTCACAGTCATGGTCACATAATGTAATTCACCACAAAAACAAGATGATAATCAATGTACTTGGCTAACAATGTCTAAATCTCTCATTCTGCCTTTCAAGTTGAGAAACATGATACTAGCAAGATTTGCAAAATAAATTTCTGCAACCTATGTCCCAGGTGGCTGCTATGGAAAACTTCATCAGACAGCACAGATTCACCTTTCATGATGGAGCAGTGACTGTCTTTTGATGTCTCTATGTCTAAGAGATCCTTTCCCCTGAGAAACTCTAGGCAGATGCACAAAGCTTTATGAAAGATCCAGACTCCTGTTTTCAGCTTGTCACAAAACTCCTGATATCACCTGATACCTTCATCATAAACATCAACACTGGTCAATCCATTGGCAATTTTCCACAGAATATGAAGACCGTTATCTGCACTGACCAAGTGGGATAATTGGTCACAACACTAACCTGACAACACTTGGTCTAGCACCAACACCATCACATTCCTACAGAAGTCAGAAATATCATCCTGCAGTGACGCGTTTGTTCTAATCTTCAACGTACACATTCAGTATCAACACATGAATCCCTTCATACAAGGCATGAAAATGACAGTTCTCCTTCATTCGGAAACCCCATGGTTTCTTCCCTATGCATGGCCACTGAAGTCCTTGACCCTGGGATTCTGTGAAATTGGGTATTCTGTTCAATTTATATATTACAACAATTATTGGCATTTAACTCCAAGGGATCTAGCCCTATATACACAGACAAATAAAATTAACAGAACATTCTGCCCCTTGAATGCTATATTAACACTTTCACCCATGAATGCTAAAAAATATGGATAGTGAACTCATAGCAATTCCCAGGAAAAGACCTTTTTAAACATCAAATTTACATACTAATTTTTTAAAATAAACATAGTTTTTTTTGTAAAATATATGAAGATATGTAAAAGGGGTAATCAACAGGCATAAAAAGCATGAAGCATTGTGTGACCCATACAGTGACCGCATTATTTCTATCACTGAGGCTTATGGAAGAATTTTACATCATTTTGGCTTTAAACAAGCCACTGGGGTCATAAGGACCCCTCCCGCCTCTTCCTTCCCCAATGATATTTTTAGTTACCATATTCATATCCTTGTCTACTAAACACTATGGAGGCATATATTAACCAATGGAATTTAACGAGGCAAATATATCTCTATTTATTGCACTTTGTTGCAACCAAAAGTGACTAGATTCAGTCCTCTCACAGTGACAGGGTTAATGAGAGAGCCACACATCAAGCATTAAAGTATCTTTATCTTAGTCCTCATACTAAAGAAAAAATACTAGACACCTAGACACATGTAAGCCAAACACCCCCCCCCCCCCCCCCCCACCCCCAACCACACCTACTCAGAAACATTCATCTACCCATGCATTTACCCACACACAAATATACCAACACACATCTACCCATACTTACTCACATATATTCAATCACACATCTCCTTACATATACACACAAACGCAATTTACCCAGACATTTGTTTCTACCCACAGACATACACATTTATCAACTTTTACATATCCACCCACCCACACACAACTCTTCACACACACATGCATACACATCTACCCATACACACGCACATCTACCCAAACTTACACTCACACATGTATACCTACATACATCTACCCTCACTCACATATATAAACCAACATAAAATCACCCACACATTTAATCACACACAAAAATGCCTACATACATCCACCCACACATCTATTCTTACAAAAATACCTATAACACATATACCAACACTTATACACTCACACACATAAAAGATTAAAGGGACAGCACTTACTCAGAACTGAGACTTGAGCTAACTGCCGCTGTGGGAGTCATTGACCTTTGTTTCTGAGTACTTTCCATCTTTGGAGATAACATTCCCCCTTTCTGACTGGTCTTTCCATAAATATTTGGCAAGACCAAAGGTTTCCGGGCACTCACAAGAGCATGAAATGATGTCACAGTAAATATACCCAGACGACCTAGCGTAGTTTTAGATGTTTTTGATGCATTAGCTAACAACACCTGAAACAAGATGTAAATAAAAGAGATCATAAAAAAAATAAAATATACTGTCTTCTTATAATGATCTTTATCTCAAAATGGAACACAGATACCAACAAATTTAGGGCAATTCCTTTGTAACTGTGTGCAGTTTGCCACAACTTATTAAGTCTTTCATTTTCTTCTGCGTGTGATTTTGTTTTTGCCTTTCTTTATTTCTTGCAGGTGAGCATTGTTTACAACCACACTACTTCCCGTCCTTTTCAGGATGAATTTTTTTCATTATCTGAAGCCCTACTCTGGCTCTTGCCAGGGGCCGCAATATAGCCCGGCCATAAATATGGCCTAATGGCTGAACATGGTTTCTGGGACCTCTCCACGGTGATCCTCATCCACATGGTGGCACATTGTGTCATCGGGTGTTTATCGCTTGTGTGATGTCCTGGTGGGGTAGAAAGTCAGTCAGTCACTGCAGGTGAGCTGAGGTGGTAAAGTGATTATAGAAGCTTATCTGCCAGCCTAATAGTATAGGTTTCACACCCAAATCAAGGCAGATATTTACAAAATTGACCCCCCCAGGCTAACCCAGGCTCAAACGGGTACCAGCTAATGTCCTGGGATATTAAGTTGGTTGGCAGGATGTCGATCACATCACCTGTTTAGTGTAAATTGATCAATAAAATAAATATAGGTCTCACACAATGTACTCTATGCCAGAGGCATGAAAAAGACCTTCACTTTACTATTTATGTTTTTTAAATTTTATTTCTTGTCGACTTATGTCCTATGTAGACTGAATGTGAATTTTTGTGTTTTATTTTTATCACCTGTTTGAGTTACATGGCTTAAAACATATAAATCAGTTGGAAGCAGAGGAATTTATGATTCTGCAATATGCAAACTAAGCCATTTGCCTCGGGCTCTGAAGGTCAAGGGTTCATTTCATGGCCGTGCTCTTCAGTTCAAGATTGCAATTTTTATGGAGATCCCTGTGGATCGTCACCGGAGCTATGGGGTTCATGCTTTGTGCAGTGCTTTCGGAAGGCCGCTAGTGTTCTGTGGTGAGAGACCGAGCTTTATGGGATAAAACCTAGTGCAAAAATGAAAATTCTCTCGATTTTAACCTTTTTTTTTTAAATTATAGAGACAGAGAGAGGGGCGGCGAGAAAGAAGAACCTGACTATGATGATTGAACTTTATAGGTAAAAAAAACCCTTTAATGTCAAGATTGTTGCAGTTCAGATCTTCTCTCTGTTTTATTTTACTGCCAAAGATTAAGGGTTAATTAGTTGTCAATGTTTAGGCCATGCTTAAAGTGTAGGGATTCATAGTTTTCTATCCCAAATAATCACAAGAATCATGGATCATGTCTGTGCTCTAGTCCCACCCTCCATCCATGTGCCCAAGCCATCCAGGTTTTTATTTCTTGGTCTTGCCTTTGCTCTTTTCCCATCACTCATGCTGTTTGTTTCCGAACTCTCCAGTCTTTTCTTTCTCACACATGACTAAACAAAATTGACAGACAATATCTAATTCAAACAGCAAGGACACAAATATTTTTGTGTTTGAAAATTTTCCACCTGGCATATTTCACTACATCATATTAGGTGGATTACTAGAGTCTACATCAACATGTAAGTAGGTAAAGTAAAGTAAAGGACCCTTTTCCACGCCTTTAGGCGTATAGGGCATATAGGGTTAGACCTATATTTTTATAGACCAATCGGCACAAGATGGGTGATGTGGTCAGCATCACGCCGGCCGCCTCTACTTCCCGGGACTGCACCCGGTACCCACTCAAGGCTGGGTCGACCTGGGAGCCAAGGTCATTTTTGAAAATAGTCTGGCTCCGCCAGGGAGCGAACCCACGACCTTCCGATCCGTGGCGAGTGTCTAGCCGCTCGGCCACGGGGACCCCCACATCAACATGTAAAGAAGTATACAGGATGAATCCTTTCATAAAAACTCATGCCAGTCGACTTTACTTCCCAAGACATTTTCTAATACTCCTTTTAATCCTATTAGCATGAATTCAAGAAAGGTGGAGCAATAAGAGAAAGTGCGGACAACCACTGGTATCAACAGTTATAAGACAAAGAAGGTGCTACTATGATGGGCACATCCTGAGAAGAAGCGAGCAGGAAATCAGAAAACAGGCAATGAAATGGCAAATAAACTGAATGATGAAATGGGGATGTCCTAGAGAAAAACTAACATGAGCATTGTTGTGAGAGAAAACAGAGATACTGGACTGCATTCCAATCATTATTTCGAAAGGATTATGTAAGATAGAGTTGAGTTGAGCTGAGTCCAGAACTGACATTACAGCACTCAGGGCATTCCTATGCATGCTCTGTCCTCATCTTCAGCAGCAAGCTTAGTGTTCCAATACTAATGGTACCGGTCGTAATCTGGTTATATGTCTTTCCTCTGAGTGTAGTGAGCTGGCCAGACCCCCCCCCCCCCCTCCCCCAGTTACACTCAGGTGCCTCATTCTCTCCAGGCCATAATAATCTTATTTTGCTTATGACTCTGTTGCTTGTTCTCAAAGAGCCCTGACCACATATGCCTAGATAGAACAGAATATAGGAATAGACTGTGGGTCGTATGTGATATATTATGACATGTCAAGATGATGATTTTTAGCTGGCTCATTTTGGTAGCCATGGTCATGTAATTAACAAATCAGCCTCAGTTTGGATTTTTTTTTAAATATTGTTTGATTAAAATTTAAAATAAAAACTGCTAGTCATTGGGTTTGGTAGCTCTGATCCTGGCAGGGAAGCCATGTAACATCTGTCTCAATGCAGATTCCGAAAATATAATTTTATTAAAAGTTAACCCTTTCAGTACCGGTGAACACAAAATATGTTCAATGATTACTCTTGATAAAGTACACTTGTTGGAATACTGACTCTTGTGAGGAACAATATCACTGTGTGCCAGACTGAAGTATATATGGATGGAGCAGAATATCAGATACTGAAACTACAAACTGGAAATGCAGACTTCTACCTGATCAATTATTACTGCCCAAGTGATCGTACCCAGGCATTAGACACAATCCCAATGGAAGAAAAGATGATTCTATGTGGAGACTTTAACAGCCACTCACAATGCTGGGGATACGACCATATAGACCAGAGAGGAGAGAAACTGGAAGAGTGGCAGGATGAGAACAGATTTGTTCTGATTAATAGGCCAACTGATCCACCCACATTCTACTCGAGGTCGTGGCACACCACTACTACCCCAGACCTAGCATTTCACTCTCCAGATCTGGAATGGAACATTAAATGAGTTGTTTGGAAATCAACTGGGAGGCAGTGATCATCGACCGGTCTTCCTGAATGTAGAAAATGAGTAGGTCACAGAAACTAGTACGCTGCCAAGGTGGAACTACAAGAAGGCTGACTGGACAATGTTCAAGCACCGTGCCAATATACTGCTTGGAAGTCTCAGCGTAGACCACGATATAAACAAAGTAATTGAAGAATTCAATAAATGCGTACTAAAGGCAGCAGGAGAATCAATACCAAGAGGTTCCCGTAAGCATTATAAGCCTAACTGGAGTAATGAGCTAGAAAATTTACATAACGAAGTGGAGACGTCCAGAAAGAAAGCAGAGACCAGGCCAAACCAAGAACATCACAATAACTACCAGCATGCAAAAGCAAAATTTGTAAGGGCAAAGCTGCAGGTTAGAAGGGAAATCTGGCAGGAGAAAACAAGGTCGCTGAACTTTGAACAAGACACAAGAAAGTTATGGAAGCTTGTGAAACAAATTAATGGTGGAACTCAAAGATCACGCTGCAGAAAGATGGAAACATGGTCACAGGAAAAGAGGCAGCCAACCTATTTGCGGACACTTTTGCTTTAGATAACGACATTGAAATCAGTTCAGAGAAAAACACGAAATTCAAGAAAAGACAATTTAGAAGTCAGAAAGAAATAACATCAGAGGCGCTAGAGGTGCCAATTACACTTAATGAACTGGAGTTGGCCATTTCAAAGCTGAAAATGCGGAAGTCACCAGGAGCAGATGGTATATCAAACGAAATGATCAGAAACTTAGGAAAAGTAGCAAAAACAAAGCTTTTACAGATATTTAATGACTGCTGGGCAACAGGGAATGTTCCACAGATCTAGAGAGAGGCAATTATGATACCCCTCATAACGCCTGGGAAAGACAGGTCTGCCTCCAACTACAGACTGATCAGCCTCACAAGTTGTCTCTGTAAAACAATGGAGCGCATCACCAACCTCAGACTACAATGGTACATTGAAAGTGAAAACATCATTACACCACAGCAGGCGGGCTTTAGAAAGTTCTACTCTACAGAAGACCAGACAATATACCTCTCCCAAGAAATAGAGAATGCTTTTCAAGATAAGAAACTGGTACTCGCAGCATGGATAGATTTAAGGAAAGCTTTTGATAAGGTTTGGAAGGAGGGGCTTTTGAAGAAATTGAGAAACTATAAAATAAATGGAAAAATGTACAATTGGATTAAAGCATATCTACATAACAGAAGAGCCCGGGTACAGGTAGATGGTTTTAAAAGTAAAAAAGTTCTACTGTGACAAGGCGTCCCTCAAGGTGGTGTCCTGTCGCCCACACTTTTCCTCTTATTTATTAACCATCTGGTTGCTGAGATACCAAATGGAATCAAAATGGCAATGTATGCCGACGACCTGGTACTGTGGTGCACCAATGAACATGCAACGATAGCCACAAAAACACTACAGCGGGCTACAAATGCATGGGCCAATAGATGGTGCGTCAGCATCAACACAGACAAATGTAGCACCACACTATTCACCCTCTCCCCAAAGCAAAAAGCTGGCACCATCAAAATAAACGGAATACCCCTGAGAGATGATAAAGAGCCCACATACCTAGGAGTCACATTTGATGACAGGTTGACATGGAGAAAACATATCAACAAGGCAGCAACCAAAGCCAGGAGGAAGACAGCAATACTAAGAAAACTAAGTGGAACCACATGGGGAGCCGATGGGAAAATACTCAATAAAGTATACAAGCAGAGCATACTTCCACACTTGGAATATGGGTCAACTGCATGGTGTTCAGCATCTAGTACCACATTAAAGGAGTTAGACAAGTGCAAAATCAAGCGCTCAGAGTCATCACAGGAGGGATGAAATCAACCCCCATATTAGAAATGGAGAAAGCTGGGAAAACAGGCACTGAGAGAACGCAGAGATACAAAGTTGCAAATACAAGCTGAAAAGTTCCTCAGTATGCCAGATCACCCGATGGAAAATTGATTTAAGAACCTAGCCTTGGGACGGTTAAAAAGAAGCAGCTTTATACACCAAGCAAAAAGAATATGTAGACAAACTCCTGACCTTCCAGAAATTGGTTGCCCCCTTAAAAGTATTCCGGAACAAACCCCATGGAGAGAAAAATGTAAACTAACGGTACAAATCCAGACAAATGTGAAAGGGATATTTGACAACAAAGAACAAGATAGTGTACAACGCAGAATGGCCACCCTCAGTTATATTGATGAAGAATACCCACAAGAACAATGGGTCAGAGTCCATACAGATGGGTCCGCAGAAAGTGCAGTTAGAAATGGTGGCACTGGAGTGTACATCGAATTCCCAGATGGTACTAGGGATAACTCCAGCGTACCAACCGGGAAGTACTGCCATAACTATGATGCAGAAACCCAGGCTATCAAGATAGCTACAGAGAAACTGCTAAATACCAACCTTGGCTCACAGTATGTGGTAATGCTGACAGATGCTAAATCAGTACTTGAAGCACTCCAGTCTAGGAAACTACAAGAATTGCAAACACTGCTAACACAACTCAGCCTTCAGCGAAGAGTCGTAATGCAGTGGATACCGTCTCATTGTGGAGTGCCTGGAAATGAGAAAGCTGATCAACTGGCAGGGAAAGGTGCGACAAAAGAGCAGCCGGATGTACCAGTCACATACCATCAAAAGAAAAGAATCATTAAATCGATCAGGAAACCACCAGCCCCAGCACAAGACGACTATTTTATTATGGACAGACCAGGACAAGTCATTATCCTTGGCCTCAGAACAGGGCACAACTGATTACATAACCACATGTACACAAAATTCAAGATAGGTGTATCAGCCATGTGCACCTGTGGAAATGTGCCCCAGACAGCAGAGCATATACTCCAGGACTGCACCGATTTTGACACATTAAGGCAAACCATTTTGGCCAGAAAGAGCAACAGTGGAACATAAACTCTATGGACCACTGAATGAACTAAAAACGACAGTGAAATTTATACAAGAGACAAAACTGCTGATATAGACAACTTATTTCAGGCGAACGAAAGAAGAAGAAGAAGAAGTACACTTGACTTTTTTCTGTTGAATACTGTTATTCTATCCTCCTCTCTCAATTGTTACTACAATTCCTTATATCCTAAGGCTGCATTGTTAAATTCTGTAAGATTACAACGATCATTACACTAAGGTAAACAAACTTTTAGACTGACAGTTTTGAAGGAACAAAAATATGAGGATAAAAAAAGTTAAAGTAAAAACTACAAGCCTTTGGGTTTGGCAGCTCCGAGCCCTGCAGGGAAGCCATGTAACACCTAAACCGATACTGATCAATGTACAACTTTTCCAGGTTTTCTTCCCACTGAGCAATCTGCTTCTGAATGGCGTGGCGACTCTTTGGGTCAGTCACCACAGACATCTGCAGCTCTGCCATCTTTCTCATTTTTCCATCCTGCAGACAAGGGAGGAGATGTTTAAAACATGTAGTTTTTCTAACTGGCAAATACAGAAGTAACTGTGGATCTAAGGTCGTGGGTTCAAATCCAAAGTGTGCCAAATATTTTTTTTAAATGACCTAGGCTCTCAGGTCGATCTAGCCTTAAATGAGTACCAGATAAACTCCTGGAAAATAAAGGCACCCGGCGTGATGTTCACCACATCAGGCATCAAGTGTTGATTGGTCTATAAAATATAGGTCAAGCCCTAAATACCCAATCAACCTGAAGGATTGGACAAGGATCCTGTACTCTACTAATACAAAAGTAAGGGTAACTTCAAAGCCTTCCAGAATTCAACATTAGTGTGAATGAGACCAACAAGTCAATGTGTTCAAGTATTTGGGTACCTTAATGACAGCATATGAACGATGTACTGAAGAAGCTACATGCAGAAGAGCTAAAGAAAAATCAGAATAGAAAGCTGAAGAATATTTCATGTTATTTGAATGTGTTAACTAAAGTCAGAAAGATCATTCTTTGGTGCTAGATAGAGCCAGCACTGATGTATGGAAGTTAATCATGCATAATCATTGAACTGGTAAAGTATTATGTGGAAGCTGCAGAGAATGCCAACGACAAATGATAAGAAAAAAAGAAAGTTAAAGATGGACAAAATAAAATGAAGAAATAAACTTACAAAGAGAATCGGTGTTAAACAAGCAACAACAAAAAATCCATATTTTTTTAGCACGTCATCATAGCAGAAAATAGAGTTGTCATGACAACAAGAAAGCTGGAGGGGAAAAGGCAAAGAGGAGGGATATTCATCTAAGTTTACCCAGAAGCCAAAATGTTTGAAAAAATAAATAAAATAAAAATCCTTACAGGCCAGAGCTGTAGAAAGATCATTAAAAGAATATTACTGGCAATGAATAGCGGGCCATTTGCTAGGCCTCTATGAGCCACAATTTGGCCCATGGGCCGCCAGCTGAATAGCCCTGGCACAGGGAAAAAGCAAGAATGAGTAAGTTGATAGAACAGTATCATAACATAGGGGTATTTTTATATTAAATATGACTGAAGTACTTAAGATGTAGACTATGGATAGACATGATAAAGTGCCACACACACCATAGACTGGACAATAGGTAGTGCTTAGTAAATGAATAATTATTGTAAAGCTAATGTAAGGCTGGCCGTCAAACTGAACATCCTTCATGTTCACTGGCTGTAAACTTTGGTGCAAAGTTCTAACTGTTCATCCAAACTTCAGTTTTCATGCCGCTCATTTTACAGATCTGAACTGTTTGTAGGCAGACTGTTGGATCCTTGCCTCACAGGCAGATGTACTCCAACTTCAAAGGTATCACACAAAATTAGTTGCATTTTATGACATGCTTATTAGAAAGAAATTGGTCTATTTATTTTTGTATCTAAATGGGGCTCCAGACCCCACATGTGGATGATTGTGGGAATATGTGTCATCAAATTCACTGTGAAGCACACAATGAAATGGTTTGGTCATCTTATTAGAATGCAGCGACAACTACCTACACAAACACTAGGTCTAATGTGAGAGCAAGAGTAAACCCAAGGAGAACATGGATTGATGATATCAAAATCATTATTCAACCACATGGAATGACAACTATCAGTGCTTCCCGCAGTGTGCTGGACCACAATGCAAAAAACATTGTGTCAGGTCCCCTTCATAATTTCTAGGCCAACAGCACTTTGAAGTAATGGGCCCCTTCATACATTCTAGGCCAACAGCACTTTGAACTAATGGGCTCCTTCATACATTCTAGGCCAACAGCACTTTGAAGTAGACTAAACAGTTTTCATTGGCGTCTGTGGTTTAGGTGTTGTGAATGTATTTTGTAATATCAAGGTGCCAGGTTTTAGCCCAGCTGCAGGCAGTTTGGCAGCAGACTAACTTGTGTTGGTTTTAACAATGGTATTGAAAGTCTACCATTTAGAAAGCAATGGCAAACTATTAAATGCAAAACTGCCTAGTAAAATCACGAACAGCCAAAAATGCTTTGGTTGGTTCTGCAACGGATATGCAATTAACTAGGTTTTTAAAAAAATCAGTTCGCTTCCTCACCATTTTTCTGAAAATGATCTGGTCGCTATTTTAAGAGGCTGCTGTGCTGACATTTGAACAACACAGGTTAGGGTGTGAAGTTTCAAAAAAAGAAGAAGTGAAGAAAAAGAAGAATTCATGAGACATAATTTCATGTTCTAGCTAAACAGCAATACATCATTTGAAAACAATATATGAAACAATTTTACATTTATACTAGAAATATGAAAAATTATTATGAAGAACTTCATAAAACAGTTTAGTTTGTTTTGTTTAAAATATATACAAACTCACCATGTCTATACCAGCCTCCAACTTTTGAAGCTCAGAGGACAGCAGTTTCAAGGTGTTATCTTTTCCATGTTGGCGAGCATACGAAGAAGCACAGGCTGAGTGAATAGCCCTAGTCCAGTTCTCCAGGTCAATTTGAGATGAAGCCTGTAAAACACATCACAGTGGTCACTCTTTTGAGTTATGAGAAATACACATAGTAAAGGCACCTGATATGAATAAGTAAAAGTAAAGATTCCTTTTCACGCCTTAGGCGCATTGGGCATATGGAAAGAGCATCCCATATTTTTACAGACCAATTGGCACTAGGTGGGTAATGTGGTCAGCATTACGCCAGCCGTCTTTACTTTCCCAGGACAGCCCATCCTGGTACCCATTTTAGGCTGAGTCGACCTGCGACGCCCCATACCATGATACAAATCCATGCAGCCAGCAGTGGGTATCGATCACAGTACGTAGGAATTACGAGTCAGACTTGCAACCCTAAGCCATGGACACTGCTGACCTGATATGAATGCCACAAGTGAAAAAAAGCCACCAAAAATGGGTAAAAATTCAAGCAATGTAAGCAATAATGACAATAACAGAAATGGCCAGTACCTGAAACAGATAAGCATCTCCACATGCAGTGCTCAAAGAAAATATGTTTTCTCTTTTAGGATGTTCTGGAACTGCTTGAGATATCCCTCCTTCAATCACTGAAGGGAAAAAAGCAAGATATAAGACCATTAGCTGATATTATTATCTAAGGTCTCATATAATGTGTATGCATTTATAAGGACAGTTGGCATTTATTCAAAGATAGGTGCAACAGGATGGCAAAGACCAACATGGGCAATGTTGCATAGAAGGGAAAAGGTGGATGAGATTCATTAGGAGTATAGGGATAGCAGATAAACTGACTGCTGATAGATTAAGAGCTTAATGTTTGAGACAGAACACATTAAATACAAGAGATTGGCCTCTACTATGAAACACGAATTTGTGCAAATGGGACAGGAATGATACAGGTATTGAGGTGGATTCATGGGAACTAAATGCTATGGATCATGCTGCATGGAAGGGATGAATCAAAAAGGGAATAGGAATAAAGTAGAAAAGGACTGCAGATAGGTTAAGAACTGAGCGCCTGAGATAGAACACATTAAATTCATACAATAGCAGCAATGCTCCTGAAACATAAGGCTTTAATTGTGGTAGACTTCTTAAAATTGGCAGATCCTGCTAGTCACACTTATCAACGTAGGCTGTGAGTCTCACACAACCCTGAAGTACAATCCAACACTATAGATGATAGATAGGTGCCAACAATTATGACTACTAATTTTTGCCAAAAATGTCTTTGTATTTCATTCACTGACCCTCTTATATTTCCACCTCTCTGTAACTTCTGTTTATCCTAATGCTTTTTTGTTGTTCTTTACATCAGGGCTATTTATCTGGCAACACAAGGGCCAAATCCCTGGCCTGCAGAGGCCTAGAAATTTTCCAGAGATCATTGCCAATTAATGATCTCTGTACAGTGAAGATTTCCCATTTTCAAAATTTTGACCCCGTAGTAAACTTGGCTGAAAAGCTTTTGTTTACATGAAAATAACATATTCTTCCATCTATCCATACTTTTATCTTTTATACCATCAAATGAACCACCTAATCCTAACCTCATTTTTTCAGATCCATAGATTCAAACCCAGTTTTTTTTTTTTATCCAGTCCACTGTCCAAGTAAGACAGTGATTCTCAACCTTCCTAATGTCACGACCCTTTAATACAATTCCTCATGTTGTAGTGACTCCCAAACAACATTAACATTATTTTCGTTGCTACTTCATAACAACAGTGATTTTGTGTTTTTGACAGTCTTAGGTGACCTCTGTAAAAGGGTCATTTGACCCCCTAAGAAGTCACGACCCACAGGCTGTGAAGCACTGAAGTAAGTAAATGTTAGTATTGTCTGTATTCTTCTACAGGAGCCTACAAGTCAATGCTGGTTATAATGAAGAAAAAAATGAAGTACTCACCAAGGATGTGTTTGGGAATGCTGTTTTCTGTAACTGAACTTTCTTCATCGCAGTCGAAAAACAAGAGTGTTGTGCCCTTGAGACACACCCAGTACCTCTTCCAGGCTCTCCGGGGTGCAAGTTCTATTTTCTTCTTTTTATGAAGCAGCCAGTTCTTTACCACCAACCATCTTTAAATCATTGAGAAGAAAAAAACAGTATATGTTAGTGAATATATGTCAGCTAATTGTTGACTTTATTGAAAGAAAGATGGTTTTTACAAAATTAGCTCTTTCCAAGTTGGAGTGCATCTGACTGACCCCATACACATATGAACTCACACTTATGCATACACATTTATACACACACACATTCAAACATTTAGGACATATACATGCACTTATGCATACCTTAGCATACCCACCCATGCATTCATACATATACTCATAAGACACTCATAGAGACCCTTTCATGTGCACACATACACAAACAGATACATACACAAACACATATACACACTCATACATACATATCATACATACACTCATTTGTACTTATTATACACATCTAATTATAAAATGGTAATGTGTTATGGACTATAAACTAAATTTAAGGTGGCATATAATCACTGGTAAGCATGAAATTAAAAAGTTTGCTATTAAATGAGTTAGAATTTGTATTTTTCAGATCGAGTAGAAGGGGGTTCCATAAATGAGCAGCAGAATATGATAAACTTGTTTTAAATAAATTAATTCTAGGTTTAGGCAAATGCAATAAACTTAGTCTCTTGCTATTCATAGGATTAAATAAAAATAAAGTGAAAATGAAGTCTGGAGTATTTTGAGATAACCTTTTATGAATGAATTTGACTTTGTTGAAAATAAACGTTTACTAAATGGAGAAGTCATAGATTTTAATTAACATGGCTTTTATCGGACACTAAGCATAGTTCCGATTTTGTAGAGAACACAGTTGTTTGACATTAGATTTGGAGCAACCATCCCCAGTTGTGGAACATTAGTCAATTTTGCCGAACTGTTATACTTTTTGTGCTATCTGGTTTTTTTTTTTAATGGCATGAACATGGGAACTGCAAGTTAAATGGTTGTCGATTAAAACTGCCTAATGTTTTGTGATCAGTTGAATTAACAATAGATAATTTGTTAACGAATAGCTCCAGCAGTGGCTTTTGCAAAGCTTATGTTACATTGGTGCTAAAAATCTGAGAACTGGGAGTAAAGATTGGCACATCCAGGTATGAAAGCCACAACAGTTGTATGAGAGCTTTTGTTTATGAGCACAGACTGGTACTATAAGCTCTTCTACATGTTGAGCTGGGTATCTGAGCAACCATGGACGTATTGAGTGCCATGAGGATAACCCAACTTGTGACTCATAAATCATGGCTTCCTGTCAAAATCTGAACTCTGTGTTGGCTGCTAAAGATGGGGATAGAGCCCTTATGGTAATATTTTATGTGCTGTGATTTCAGATCTTGACTAAACTCAAATACTACTTGACTCTTTTAACATCAAACAACACATAATGAACTGACACATAAATGTTCTACAGTACTAATCAACACCTTATAGATTTGGCCACTAATTTTATATTTGGCCCCCGTTTCCAAAAAAAAAAAAAAAGTGGCAACTTTAAATGGTCCGTCTAGTATGGAGTGTCTTCATCTGCTCTGCTTAGTTTGTTAACTATGAAATGTTATATTTTTGTTTACTTTAACCGAGTAGATAAGTCCTTATTAGAGAACTAATGACCAGTCAGTAACCATCTTCGCACTCATAAAAGAGACTGACTGCTTCAGATGTTTCAAAATATTCATTAAATACTGGATTGAGTAGAATTATGTCGAAGTGGATAAAGAAATTTAATAATGTAGCATTTTTTTAAACAACCCTTTGAAGAATCAAGCTTTCAAGTGAAATTATACTACGTACTTCCTGAAAAATGAACAATGATCACAGAGTCAGTTAGCACACAGGAAAGATATCTATATGTCAAGGTCATTTGCCCAGAACCCAAGCAGAGGAAAAGAAATTAATTATTTTAGAAAGTCACTAGTACCAAACGATGAAGATATATGCTACTGTTCTGTAAGCTTCTTTGCAGTAAACGTTTAGGGACTGTCTTTAAATTGGATTTACATTTCTGTGTGGGCTCCAAGGTCCTATCTTGGGGAAAAACAGAACAGACCCACTGTTCAATAACAAGCAGATTGTAAAAGGTGACTGATACAGAGTTTATTACTAGGAATGTACTGGACTACAAGGTGCAAATATCATATGCTAGCTATAAACGACAACACAAACTGCCAACAACAAGAAACAAATTTTATTTACCTATTGTTACCAAGTAAATCTCACTTATTGTAAATTTAATGTAGATTTTACTAAGGTTTTTAAAGCTCCAACTTTCCGGCAAGTGTTGAGACAGAAATATATGCAGTGTGAACAATGCTTAAAAATATTGTGTATTTATCTAGACAGGGCATTTCAAAAGTACAATTTTATATTGAACTTATGGGCTGACTGCTGATTACAGATTTTAGAGTTGACATTGCAGCATACTGTGCATACCCATAGACGCTATCTTTCCCACAGCAAATGTCTAATGTTGTCGATGCTAACTGAACTAAAGGAATTTTAAGCTACTATGTACAATTTACCCAACAGTAAGCAACACTTTTTTTTTTTAAGGTGAAGAAGATATAATAACTACCACTGAACTGTGCCTTCACAAAAGCCATGCAGGGCGACCAGCCAGACAAAAAAAATGCCAACCTTCTTCCTTTCTCAGCATTCCGATCCCTTGTAGCTGATTGCTGCAGATATCAACTTTTTCTATTCATCTCTATGATTAGTCCTTTCCTTCCATTTGGTGACCCCCAAGTGTCTGTAGGTGCCCCTGGATATTACTGCATTTTCCTTCTTCTTCTTCTCCCTAAATCCATATAACAAGCTGCCTCTTCTGTTTTATTTGGTATCTTTAATGTTGTTGCTTCAGCATATTTTTGCTCTAGAAAATTTGATTAAATATTAATCTTCTTTCTGAAACTAAATCCTACCCAGCTTTTCTGATAGCTCCCACTTGTCGAGCATAGGACATCTGAGAGTCCGTCTCTGTCATGGTGTCAATGCTGTCGTCACTTGCTTCTCCGTCATCATCTGACAACTATGGACATGATCAGACATTTAATTAGAACATGACACACCTTTCCAGATGCATTTATAAATTTAACACAAAATGTGACAAAAAAGCTTGACAGATAGAAAATAAGTTCACACACTAACACATATTTATCGACCATAAACTCCAGCAGGTTGTCCTGGTAGAACATCCATTTCTTGTCTTTAGATGTGTTGCAGGTCTTCAGTTGTGCATTGGGTTTCACCATAAGTCTTAATCAGCAGAGTGCTGAATACAACACAGACAGTTCCTAGAAAGTTCAACTGCGGGATTAAAAGGACTCACACAAATACAACCCAATGTCTGTTTGCTAGCATTTACCAGCTGTAGACTCCAGCAAGTTGTCACAGAGGTACATCCATTTGAATCTGCCTTTATTCCAGGTTTTTAGTTTTACTTTAGGTTTCATTCAGTCTTTATCAACAGAGTACTCAACACAACGTGAGTCCCCGTAGCGGAGCGGCCAGATGCTCGCCGCGGATCGGAAAGTTGTGGGTTTGCTCCCTGGAGGAGCCAACTTTTTTTCAAAAATGACCTTGGCTCCCAGGTCGACTCAGCCTTGAGTGGGTACCGAGTGCAGTCCTGGGAAGTAAAGGCGGCCGGCGTGATGCTGACCACATCACTCATCTTGTGCCGATTGGTCTATAAAACTAGCCCTATATGCCCTATACGCCTAAAGGTGTGGAAAAGGGTCCTTTTTTACTTTTATTTACTCAACACAACACAAGCTGTGATTAGAAAACTGACGCCTTCTTGTTTATTCTCTTCCTTCTGCAATATAGCCCTTTATGTCAGTATAGTTTCTCCTATTACAAATTTCTGGTTTCAGGTTAGGCTTAGCTGGTTATGAGCTCTGCTGTGTGTTGTTTGCTGAGCTTTCTAGTCACAGCTTGTGTTGCATTAACTCTTTGAGTCCCAGGGGGTTAAGCATCACAGGCCCAGAGGGTAGTAAAGAGAGTCATAAAATTGGCGCATCATGCGTTCATTGGCCTTTTAGGTAGGAACATATGAATGTATTATGCATTCCTTGAGACTCTAAAAGTTAAGTATTTACATTTTCCCATTGCATCTGGTACTGCGTGACAGATATAAATGTTTGCTTAATTTTTCCCCCTTGCCATTACCGCCTGTATTTACCACTTTTGCAGTGTAGACATGGAGGTCTCTGAGCCTGTGGATTACAGGCTGCATGATTTGTGCTGTCGCCAAGGACTGTGCAAGTCTCCATGTTATTTTTAGCCCTGGATGGAAAATCAAACGTGGGTCCCCACATTCTAACCAATCAATCATCCATTTCTCAATGTTGATTATTATGTCAGATAATTAAGATTACCATGTTAGAGACAATTATGTCAAATTTCTGTGCGTATCATGGCAGATCATGTTAGCTTTTGTTTTGTTAGATAATATTAGTTATGTCAGGTAATGTTGGTTATGTTGGATGATACTGGGTTTTTTGGGGACGAGGGTGGGTGGGGGGGGGGGGGGGGGGGGGGGGGGTCGGATAATGTTGATTATATTAGATAATGTTGGTTTAGTCAGATAATATTGTTTATGTCAGATAATATTGGTTATGTTGGTTAATACTGTTTTTTGGGGGTCAGCTAATGCCGATTATGTCAGATAATTTTGGTTATGTCAGATAATTTTGGTTATGTCAGATAACAATGGTTGTTTTGTCAGATAATATTGGTAATGTCAGATAATTTTGGTTAGGTCAGATAATGCTGTACATGTCAGATAACGTTGGTTATCTTATATAGTATTGGTTATGTCAGATAATGTTGCTTGTTTTGTCAGATAATATTGGTAATGTCAGATAATGATGGTTGTTTTGTCAGATAATATTGGTTATGTCAGATAAATTTGGTTAGGTCAGATAATGCTGTCGTTGTCAGATGTCGTTCGTTATCTGAGATAGTATTGGTTATGTCAGATAATTTTGGTTTTTGTCATGTCTGATAATGTTGGTTATGTAACAAAATCTTGTTTATTTTGTCATATAATTTTGGTTCTGCCAGGTAATGTTAGTATGTCTGAAAAAAAAAATTTTTTTTTGGGGTCAGATGTTAGTTGTGTGAAATTATGTCATTTATGTAGCAAATATTGGTTATATTTGTTAGATAACACTGGTAATTTTTTTTAAATATGTTTGTTATGTCAGACATTGTTGGTTACTTTGACAGATAATGTTGGTGATTTGGTCAGATAATTTTCATTATGTCAGATAATGCTTAGGTCAGATAATACTGGTTATTTAGCCAAATAGATTTTGCAGATAATTTCGGGTAATGTTGTCAGCTAATGTTAGTTATTGTCATTATATAATGTTGGTAATGTCAGAAGATGATGGTTGTGTCTGTAATAATTTTTCCTAAGGGGTCCCTATATTATGTAGTAGGGTCAAGGGTAAGTCAAGTGATCATAGTGTGCAAATCTCACTGTGTAGCTTATAGCTGTGTCTTGACTGAGGCTGGAACTAAGGAGACAGCCTCTCTGTATGCTAACAGCATACAGTGTTGGAGTACATGCTCGCATCTTCAGGTGCCACAGTGCAGGAAGCCAGTTTCCTATCCCCCCCCCCCCCCCCCCCCCCCCCCCCCCCCCCCGTGGGGTTCCGGGGCCCCATTGTGAGGAAAACAAGAATAGACCCTCTGCCTACCCAAAAGCATGTCGTAAGAGTCGACTAATTGGGGAGCTTCCTTTGAAGTCGGAGTGCATCTGCCGGAGAGGCAAGGAACCAACAGTCTGTATTCAAGAGAATGAGATCTGTAAAACTAATGCACACGCAACACTCAGGTTCTGGAGCAGGACTGCGGTTCAGTAGTGGACGAGCAACCAGAACTTTCCGCCAGAGTTTACAGCTGGTGAACGCGAAGAAGAACAAGAAGTTTCCTACACCAGAAAACTTGAGCCTAAGTTACTGAAGTCCGTTATGCCCTGTCCGTTATGCCCTGTCCGTTATGCCCTGTCCTTAGTCTGAATATGCTGGCAATGGTTATGCCCTGTCCTTAGTCTGAATATGCTGGCAATGGTTATGCCCTGTCCTTAGTCTGAATATGCTGGCAATGGTTATGCCCTGTCCTTAGTCTGAATATGCTGGCAATGGTTATGCCCTGTCCTTAGTCTGAATATGCTGGCAATGGTTATGCCCTGTATTTAGTCTGAATATGCTGGCAATGGTTATGCCCTGTCCTTAGTCTGAATATGCTGGCAATGGTTATGCCCTGTCCTTAGTCTGAATATGCTGGCAATGGTTATGCCCTGTCCTTAGTCTGAATATGCTGGCAATGGCTCTTTCTCTAACCCCATATTGAGAGGCCCTTTAAACCCACACAGAGGAGAAAACACAAGGACTTACATCTGGGGCTAGGTACTGCTTGACATCCACACCTTCCCCTATCTGTCTGATGACGTCACTCTGATCACTGGTCCGGCTTCCGCTGCTGGCCCCAGTTGAAGTGGACCTGGGGACATGACTCCCTTGTTTACCTGTTGTAGAGACAGACACAGTATTACAGTGCTACATAAAGCCTGTGCTGTTGTATGCGTGTGAGACATGGACAATAAGCAGACAAGATGAAAAACTAATATTTACTTGCAGAGTAAGTAGGAGATGTGGTTTTTGAGCATAATGCAGAGAATATCATAGAGTGATAGAAAAACAAATAAGGCAGTCATCCTTGGGAGGAGAGATGAAGGTCATAAACCTCCTTGAGACAGATGAAAAGTCATAAAACTCTTTGAGTCAGATAAAAGTCATAAACTTTCTTGAGACAGATGAAAGTCATAAACTTCCTTGAGACAGGTGAAAGTCATAAACTTCCTTGAGACAGATGGAAGTCATAAACCTCCTTGAGACAGATGAAAGTCATAAACCTCCTTGAGACAGATGAAAGACATAGACCTCCTTGAGACAGATGAAAGTCATAGACCTCCTTGAGACAGATGAAAGTCATAAACCTCCTTGAGACAGATGAAAGTCATAAACCTCATTAAGACAGATGAAAGTCATAAACCTCATTAAGACAGATGAAAGTCATAAACCTCATTAAGACAGATGAAAGTCATAAACCTCATTAAGACAGATGAAAGTCATAAACCTCCTTGAGACAGATGAAAGTCATAAACCTCATTAAGACAGATGAAAGTCATAAACTTTCTCGAGACAGGAAAGTCCTAAACCTCCTTGAGACGGATGCAAGTTATAAACCTTCTTGGGACAGATGAAAATCATAAACCTTCTTGAGACAGATGAAAGTCATAAACCTTCTTGGGACAGATGAAAGTGAAAAACCTTCTTGAAGCAGATGAAAGTCATAAACCTTCTTTAAGCAGATGAAAGTTATAAACCTTCTTGAGATAGATGAAAGTCATTAACATCAGATGCCAACAGTCTTCTTTTTTCGGACATGTTATGAGAACAAAAACTGGCTTCAAAACCAGCTAACAACTGGCAGGGATTGATGGAAAGAGGGCAGGAAAGAGGCAAAGAGATTAATGCCAAGTTGGCTTGGCTGTATCAATGAGGCGACCAGAACACTGGCTTGATCTGATATTCTGACGATCACGTGAAATGTGAAACATGACAGCCAATGCCTAACAACATATGTTGAAGGCGAGAGACAGAATGCATTAAATTAACAACTTAATTAAACACGCAGTCACTGGGACATGGCTCCGTTGTTCGCTTGCCTAGAGACAGAATTTATTAGTTTAACAAATGAAACTGTCATTGTACAGGAACATGGTTTCCGTGTTTACATGTGTTTAAAAACAAAAGTAGTTGCAGTCTCTTACGTCACGTTGCACAACCAACGCCAGCTTTTCTTTAAATTGTTTTTTAAGGCAAATTTACACCCAGTCGCTTGCCGCTGTTTTTTTTTTTTTTAAACGGCCGACTCTCGATACCATTGTTGAAACGGTCTGCTGCCAAACTGCTTTATGAAGCGCATTCGCAAAACCTAAGCCACAGACAGTGTGTATAGAGAGAGTAATAACTAAGCAGATAATACGCCTGTCTGTATAGTGGGACAAGGCTCCGCTGTCTGCCCGTGGAGCCGGGGGGGGGGGGGGGAATCTTTGATTAGCAGCTTGAACACACTGTCATAGTTGGATACCACCGTATAAAACCTACCACCCGGGGGCTGAATGGTATCGATGTATGGTGTCCACCTCGAGTGCTGGACGTCCCGTGTTCAAATCCCGGTGAGGGCTGGGATTTTTTCACGTGGACTTCTCGTAATTTCCCCTGGTCTCTGGGTAGTAAGATCGGACGCCCGTGTGTATTCTTGCGCACGTACCAAATCCCCTTGGCAGTTGGAAATCGAAAAGAGTAGGCTAACGGCCGAGGCAAAAATTGGGTTAAAAATCTACCCAAAGTATTTCAGGATCCTCGCCCGTGCAGCGAAGTCCGTGCACTGTGCTGAGAACTTTAAGACTCGGCTTGAGTTAGAAGTACAACGTAGCATTTATGGGTTACATCCGTGTGCCATGTTGTTGATCCGTCGAATAAAAAACAAACATACACCCCACCAAAGCCAACTTAACCTTTTAAGAAAAAGAAATATTACAAGACAGACCGAAGGAACAACACTATGCAACAAATTCATTGAGAAACAAGATAAAAAGGTTTGGTTAGGTTATCTAGTAAGAATGGAGCCAGAACAACTACCAACACAGGCGCTACACCAATACAGATCTGAAGTGAAAGCCAAAAGGCTGTCCTAGCAGACGGGGACTGGTGGTATTCCAATTCCAAATTGTCCAAGAAAAATTCCAAATTTGATCCTCTTTCATCCGCCCGGAGGCCTGCTATATCGAAGAAGGGTCCTTAGCTGTCTTATATGGTTTCCTTTTATTTGTGGTGTGTAGTCACACCTGATATTAGGGTTGTTTGCTTCCTTGCTGTGCTGCGGTGTTTGCGGTTTTGGGTTCTGGTGTGTTCCAGATCTCTTTGCGATGTTATCGATGGGTACTAGCTGACTGTTGCTGGTGCTTGGCTTGCCTCGTGCTGGTCGCTGTGCTGGTGCCCTGTTGCTGCTTGGTTGCCGATCTGTAAGCCGCCGGAAAAAGACTGGTGGTATTACAGAGCTTCTACATATATACGGAATGACAACAGCCATTTGCTGCCCTCGATGCAATGGATCTCAAACTTTTTATCATCTCACAACACATAACAGCAGAAGTGGAAATTGATGATAATGATGATGATACCATCCTATAGTTTATCAGAGTTAAAATCTCCATAGTGACATCCTCTGCCTAGCAGAGTTAACTCTTTCTGTACCAGTGGTGGTTCCAGGGTCCCTTGTGGTGGCAAACAAGAACAGGGTCCCTTGTGGTGGCAAACAAGAACAGGGTCCCTTGTGGTGGCAAACAAGAACAGGATCCCTTGTGGTGGCAAACAAGAACAGGGTCCCTTGTGGTGGCAAACAAGAACAGGGTCCCTTGTGGTGGCAAACAAGAACAGGGTCCCTTGTGGTGGAAGACAAGAACAGGGTCCCTTGTGGTGGAAGACAAGAACAGGGTCCTTTGTGGTGGAAGACAAGAACAAGGTCCCTTGTGGTGGAAGACAAGAACAGGGTCCCTTGTGGTGGCAAACAAGAACAGGGTCCCTTGTGGTGGCAAACAAGAACAGGATCCCTTGTGGTGGCAAACAAGAACAGGGTCCCTTGTGGTGGCAAACAAGAACAGGGTCCCGTGTCGTGAAATACAAGAACAGACTCACCGTCTCCACAATAAGCATGTTGTTAAGAGTTGACTAAATGAGGGCTTCTTTCGAAGTCAGAGTGCATCTGCATGAGAAGCGAGGAACCAACAGTCTGTATACAAACAAGTCAGATTTGTAATAATGATGTGCATGTAATTCTCAGGGTCTGCAACAAGACCAAAGTCCATAGGTGGACGAACAGCCAGAACTTTTCGTCAGAGTTTACAGCCGATGAGCGCCAAGATTTAGGGGAAGATATCAGTATGGGCGCCGGAACCTGGGGCTCAAATCTCTTCAGCCACCTCAAAATGGGGGAGTGGTCTCAGTGGGGTCGGGAGGGGGGGTTGTGGGGGAGCACTCAGAGACTTGACGCTCCCTTACCCACCCACCCCCCCCCCCGCCCCAACACACACAAACATACATACACCATTATTTGGCTTTAACGTTTGTAGGATGCTGAGGAGTCTAAAATGAGATCCACTGGGAAGTAAAAGCGTTGTTGTTGCTGCTATTGCTCGTTGGCCGAGCCATTTCATTACTTATCTAATGACAAACTAATGCTGCTACTTCCCTCGCTTTCGAATTTTATCATTCCTTATTTTCTCTTGTCTCAATATATCGAGTGTTCTTCGGAAACAAAAGGTTATTATGGCCTGGGGAGGCTGGGGCACCTGAGTGTAACAAGGGGGTCTGCTTGGCTCACTACACTTGGGGGGGGGGGGGAGGCAAGACGAACATATAATCAGATTACGACTGGTACCATTAGTATTAGAACTCTGCGCTGGCTGCTGAAGATGTGAAAGGAGCACGCATGGGAATGCCCCGAGTGCTGTGATGTCAATTCTTGACCCAACTCAACTCAACTCATGGGAAACACATCTCAGTCTTTAACTATGTGTATGTGTCTGTCATTGTCCATGGCTGACGTTTGTAGCAAAGAGTAGGTATCCAGATTGTGTAAGACACAGAAATCTTTTTTTTTTAAACAATTCACCGTTTATTCAGCTGTATGAGAAGAGCTTCAGGGGTCAGAAGACATAAAATCAGGGAATGAGGTCATAAGAGGAGATACCGGCACAAAACCAATTCTAAATTACGAGTAAAAACAAAGACAGCAAATCAAATGGTTTTCCCACTTAAGAGAGAGTTTATTGTGACGCCATACTAAACAAGATATAGGTCAAAAGAGGAAAAGGGTGTGAGTACAATGCAGACCAAGAACAAGATGGAAAGAGAATATCTGATAAATTGTAATAGCACTATGTGGCTATGGTTGAGGCGGTCAGAAGCAGAACTATACATGTGCCTCCACACCCGATGCGGTAAAAGTGGAAGTGAAAAAGAAAATACATCTTTGAGCATCTTGTTAGAATGCAACCAAACAACAACCAAAGCTGGTTATACATCTACAAATTCCGGACGTGAAAATAAAAGGGTGCCCGAGGAGAAGATGGATTGATGACCTTACAGACAATTTGCATCCATACGAATGACTGTAGCCAGTGCTACCCATCCAGCAATGATAAGTCAAAAGTGTTCCTTCCCATGGAGTTTAATGGCAAAAGTGGAAATCGATGACGAAAAATTACGATTACTGATACACGTTTGTTTGTTGTTACCATTGTGGGATCTAAAACACACATGCTATTGCCAGTATCGATAACGTTTCATATACAACAATAAGAACAAAGTAAAAAGTGTAACAAAAATACAAACTTGAGAATAAAGCGAGCAAAATATTCCTGCAGACAATAGATTGTGAAAAGATCTTATCCATAAA